AACCTAACCTAGCTTTTTTTGGCTACCTAACCTAACCTTACCTATAAATATAGGTTAGGTTAGGTTAGGTAGGGTTGGTTAGGTTCGGTCATATATCTACGTTAATTTTAACTCCAATAAAAAAAAATTGACCTCATACATAGAGAAAAGGGTTGCTTTATCATTTCATAAGAAAAAAATTATAGTAAATATATTAATTCAGGAAAACTTGGCTTATTAGGCAAATCGGGCCTTATATAGTAGGCTGAGAAGTGAGTTCTGGCTACTAGGTACGACATATATATATATATATATATATATATATATATATATATATATATATATATATATATATATATATATATGTCGTACCTAGTAGCCAGAACTCACTTCTCAGCCTACTATTCAAGGCCCGATTTGCCTAATAAGCCAAGTTTTCCTGAATTAATATATTTACTATAATTTTTTTCTTATGAAATGATAAAGCAACCCTTTTCTCTATGTATGAGGTCAATTTTTTTTTATTGGAGTTAAAATTAACGTAGATATATGACCGAACCTAACCAACCCTACCTAACCTAACCTAACCTATATTTATAGGTAAGGTTAGGTTAGGTAGCCAAAAAAAGCTAGGTTAGGTTAGGTTAGGTAGGTTAGGTAGACGAAAAAACATTAATTTATGAAAACTTGGCTTATTAGGCAAATCGGGCCTTGAATAGTAGGCTGAGAAGTGCGTTCTGGCTATTAGGTACGACATATATATATATATATATATATATATATATATATATATATATATATATATATATATATATATATATATATATATATATATATATATATATATATATGTCGTACCTAGTAGCCAGAACGCACTTCTCAGCCTACTATGCAAAGCCCGATTTGCCTAATAAGCCAAGTTTTCATGAATTAATTGTTTTTCGACTACCTAACCTACCTAACCTAACCTAACCTAACTTTTTCGGCTACCTAACCTAACCTAACCTATAAAGATAGGTTAGGTTAGGTTAGGTAGGGTTGGTTAGGTTCGGTCATATATCTACGTTAAATTTAACTCTAATAAAAAAAAATGACCTCATACATAATGAAATGGGTAGCTTTATCATTTCATTAGAAAAAAATTAGAGAAAATATATTAATTCAGGAAAATTTGGCTTATTAGGCAAATCGGGCCTTGCATAGTAGGCTGAGAAGTGTGTTCTGGCTACTAGGTACGACATATATATATATATATATATATATATATATATATATATATATATATATATATATATATATATATATATATATATATATATATATATATATATACATATATATATATATATATATATATATATATATATATATATATATATATATATATTATATATATATATATATATATATATATATATATATATATATATATATATATATATATATATATATATATATATATATATATATATATATATATATATATATATATATATATATATATATATATATATATATATATATATATGACTCTGAAAACTCACACCCCAGAAGTGACTCGAACCCATACTGCCAGGAGCAACGCAATTGGTATCTACAGGACGCCTTAATCCAGTTGACCATCATGACCGGACATAAGGAAGTGATAGCCGAAGCTATCTGAACCACTTCCCCGCCGGCACTCGGATGGTAATCATGGGCATAGCATTTTATCAAATCACCTCATTCTTTGGGGCACACGTGAGGAACACAAATGCGAACAAGCCTGAATGGTCCCCAGGACTATATGCGACTGAATACCAGTTGCGTTGCTCCTGGCAGTATGGGTTCGAGTCACTACTGGGGTGTGAGTTTTCATATATAACTGAAAACTCACACCCCAGAAGTGACTCGAACCCATACTGCCAGAAGCAATGCATCTGATGTACAGGATCCCTTAACCACTCGACCAACACGCCGAACAAAAAAAGGATGGTAGCCGAGGCTAATTTCCCATTCCCCCGCCGGCACTCTGTTGGAAATCTTGGGCATGGTATTTTATCAAATCACCTCATTCTTTCGGGCACACGTGAGGAACACAAATGTGAACAAGTCTGAACGGTCTCCAGGCATATATGCAACTGAAAACTCACGTCCAAGAAGTGACTCAAACCCATACTGCCAGCAGCAATGCATCTGTACATCAGATGCATTTCTGTACATCAGATGCATTCCTTCTGGCAGTATGAGTTCGAATCACTTCTGGGGTATGAGTTTAAAGTGGCACTTTAAACCACTTCACTTATGGTTGTTCCTTCTCATAAGAATAATTTATCTATTGACTTACTTTACTGAAAATCACTACAGGTATTGACCATTCTTAGTTTCGTTATGTGATTAACTAATCGACGTAAAATCGTTAAACTATTATAAGTTCAAAAATGTTCAAGCTCGGCATCTTTAGAAACAAAGGAAAGGGAAAACAACTAATACCACAAGGAATTCGGGAGACTTACTAATTAAAACCCCATGGAACCCTCTCGATAAACCCTTACCGCCAGAAAAGAATCACTCATAAGATAGAATGCAATCACATCATATACCTACACCCAAACCCAGCAGCGTCGATCCTGACTAAACCAATGCCAGTGAAACGAATGACAGGAAAATAGCTACCATTCATGGGATTGTGAAAACTGTGTCGCACTCTGTCCTCCGTTGTCGCTCTGCCTTAAACAGTATAAAACTAATCAATGATGTTAAAGAAACAGGAATGACATGATTATATTACATTCAATTTTAGGGGAATTCGATGAAGTTAAAATCTTCAATTAGAGAAGCAGCAAATTGAAGGGACAACGATGAAAAGTACAGGCATAGAGAAGCTACAGAGACGTCAAAAAAACTTCCTTAGCATAACAATTGTTAATACAAAGAACATATTCACTGTAGCGCCTGAAACAACCTCAAGACAAAAACTTTAAGTAATGTATAAAAACAAAACGAGTAAATAGAGTTTTTACATTAATCAAACGACTACTTAAAAATAGAGCTCAAACATCCACACTCGAAAAGGATATTAATAGTAGTAAACATCGATCAGTCTCAGGAGATTATGGAGTTGCGCTCTGGTTGTCGGTGTGGAGTGACCTCTCCAGGGCGCAAAGTCAAGGTAGGTTGATACGGGAGAGAAGCTGTTACCCATGCAGCAGGTCTCCCCCCCCCTAATCTCCAGGGAGCAAAGCCAGGGTAGGTTGATACGGAGGAGAAGCTGTTACCCATGCAGCAGGTCCGCCCCTCTCCACGGCGCCGAAAGTCTCCAATGGAAAGGCAAACGCCAATACGATTGGTTCCAGCGCCGTCGCAGGAACTGTCAGAACGAGGATGAAGGCAACAACGAACTGCCCTAGAGGCTCCAGCTCCGGAGTTTAAAGGTTAAATTTATTAATGGTTAAGGGTATACCTGCCAGTCAGGAAACAAAGTATTACAAGTTGAGTAAAAATCTATTAAGCAGAGAATAGAAAGTAATTAAGGCGCCACCAGGATCGATACTGACACCCATGTTGTTACCGGCAAATGTTAACTATTTTTGTCTACTTTTTTAATTGCTTTTGTGGAATAAAAAAAAAAAGTCTCACCCTGACCCTTGCGCTATTGTCTGGGAACTCTAACCTTAATGGGAACACATTCAATAAAATATATATTTTTGTACTATTCAAAGACTGGATAGCATTTCTTCCATTGTTTATTTAATTATTTTTTTAATCCCCTGTCTGCACCTGTACTCTAGAAGACACACACTTGGGACGCTGAACCGTTGAATAAAGACACTTGGGACGCTGTATTGTTGGGTACAGACACTTGGGACGCTGTGCTATTGGGTTCAGGCACTTGGGACGCTGTATTGTTGGGTACAGACACTTGGGACGCTGTATTGTTGGGTACAGACACTTGGGACGCTGTATTGTTGGGTACAGACACTTGGGACGCTGTATTGTTGGGTTCAGGCACTTGGGACGCTGTATTGTTGGATTCAGAAACTTGGGATGTTATGGTGCTAGATACGGGCACTCGGTACGTTTTACAGACAGATATATCGATTGGGACGTTATACTGCTAGATATGGACTCTTGGGATGCTGAACTGGTAGATATATTCCTCACAAGTGGAACACCAGTACCACTTGTGAGGTTGAACAATTACACTTGGGACCCTTCAGATAAATAAAAGTGTATGTTCCAGATACCACAAATTTCTTCTTAATTTTCTGTTATATTTTCACTTGACTTCGGTTTAATAACATATGGGAAATTACTTTCGAATTGACATTCCATTACACATTTCATATTTTTTTCTTTGTATCACTTCTGTTATGAATTCTAATTATTTTGGTAGAGTTATATTTATTGATAATGTTTTCTATGCATCTATTCCATTAGATTTTGGGAAATAAATAACATCATCCACATCCGCTGGATGTGGATGTATGAGTGGGCGAGTACCATGAGTCGTTGAGAACTGTGGGTGAAGCAGGGCGTGGGTGAGTACTCCTGGTGTGGATGAATGAGTGCTGTAAGTGATGCGAGGTGAGAACTGCAAGTGATTTAGTGTATATATGAGAGCGTGGATGAAGAATGGCGTGAATAAGTGGATGGTGAATAATATAGATTGGTGATTCTGTGGGTGACATTTGGTGTGGGTGGATGAGTTCTGTGGGTGACGCTATTGCGGGTGGATGAGAACTGTGGGCCACGCTGAGTGTGAGTGAGGTAATTATTGTGGGCCACTGTGGGTGTGGTTGGGTGAGAACCGTGGGGTGATGCCAGGTGTTAGTATATGTATGACGCTGCATGTGAGTGTGGGTGGATGAACACTGTGGGTGACGCTGGGTGTAGATGAACGAGCATGTGAGTACTGTAGGTAATGTTAGGCTTCCATATGGAATATAAATAAATGTTTAATTTTGGAACAATCACACTGGAAACTGTTGACCTTCACTGAGCGGTATAAAAGGACGCGTTGGCTCCAGCTGAACACAGTCAGCCGACAGTCACCCCACAGTCATGACGTCCCTGGTGAGTTATACACCCGTCCTACGAGATACATGTACACCGAGATGTATACTCCAATCCTTGGTATACATGCACTGAGGGTTTACCTTGGTCCTACACAATGTTGAGGAAATAGTTGCTATGTTGTTACGCTATTGTGGTGGCCTTAACTATCCTCCGAAGGTAAAAAGATCAATCATGAGATGATTTCGGGGCGTAGCGTCCACACGGCCCGGTCCTCAACAAGGCCTCCTTGTTGTTACACATCCCCCAGGAAGCAGCCCGTAGCAGCTGTCTTACTTCCAGGTACCTATTTACTGCAAGGTGAACATAAACATCAGGGTCAAAGAATCTCTGTCCATTAGTTTCCGCCTCAGCAGGGGATCGAATCCAGACCTTAGGACTTCGAATCCCGAGCGCTGTCCACTCAGCCGTCAGGCCTCTTCAGGGTGTTGTCTATGGCACAACACTTTCTTGTTCTTAAGCCTGTTAGATTTAGTATCTTACATTTACTATTGAAAGTTATATTGTTCCTTTACATTTTATTTGCTGATTGTGTTTATAAATATTTCCTTAAAAGTACATTTAGTCACATTATTTTAGGGTTTTAGACATAGAAAACGATGAGTAAGTTACCAGATAAAATTTAACAGTGATGACATTACCAAATCTGAATACGTAGAGATCTGAGAGTCATGATTAGTTAGGATTTTTAATCTAAGAAATCGATGTATAAATGTTTTACATATGAACCAAAAAGTAGATCAGAATTCATTACTGGAGGAGTCAGTAATATGCCAGCAATGAAAAAGCCACCTTATGAGAGATATTAGGAAAGCTTACTAATTGCGTCTGTAATAAACGTAAATTAAGATTTACTTATCTTCCTGTTTGAAACCTACCATATGAAAGCAATTAGAAAGGATTAACTTACATTCACTCGAAAGGTAATTAGTAGGAGGTGACATGATTGATGTATATTAATCAATTAAAGGGTTTAACGAAATCTATGATCAAAATGAACTCAAAATAGAACACGTAACATTGGAAGCAAATTGAAAAAAAATAGAATCAGAAACGATTCCGGTATATGTACAATGAAATCACATTAACGTGGTGTATAAATGTGAAAATCAGTATCATGAAAATTTCGAATCATGAGGAAGATTCGAACCCACACACTTGGTACTCCCTGAAATCACTACATTCTAGACCACCTAGCACCCGCCCTAGACCAGCACACCACGACACCTCCAAAGTTTGAACAAATCCACAAGGTCCGTGATTAGCGTTCGAAATTACGCCTGGGATGATGCCAGACACTGCATTAGTCTTCTCCGGTAAACATAGGTTCAGATGTATGGGGCTTCTGATTTATGGAACATATTTCAGGAAAACATAACAGACATGGGCTAGCTGGTTCGTTTAATGTGAAATTTTGTTTGGTATATATAGGAATACCCATCTTTTGTTTCCTGTATTGTAGTTGTAGTTATCTTTGAGCCATTAATCTAAAAAGGGATCTTAAAGGTGATCGTTTAATTGTTTGAATTATATATAAGTCCTGAATATAAAATTCTGCTTGTAATTGAAAATACTTTAAGCTTCACTCATTTTAAGTGTAATCTCATTGAATAATGTTTGTGTTGATCTTACAGGTGATTGTTGCCGCCCTGGCCACCTCCTGCTTTGTGGCCACAAGCGCTGAGCCTTCCCCAGTTGCTAAGCCTTCCCCAGTTGCTGAGCCTGGCTACTTAGGGGGATTCGGTCGTGGTTTCGGAGGCTTTGGGGGAGGATACGGCGGCTTCGGTGGAGGTTATGGAGGCTACGGAGGCTTCTATCGTGGAAAGAGGAGCGCTGAGCCTGTTGCTGAGCCTGAAGCTGAGCCCGGTTACCTAGGAGGCTTCAGAGGCTTTGGAGGAGGATATGGAGGCTATGGTGGAGGTTATGGAGGCTATGGTGGAGGTTATGGAGGATACGGAGGCTTCTATCGTGGAAAGAGGAGCGCTGAGCCTGTTGCTGAGCCTGAAGCTGAGCCTGGTTACCGAGGCGGCTTCAGAGGCTTTGGAGGCTTCGGTGGAGGATATGGAGGCTATGGTGGAGGTTATGGAGGATACGGAGGCTTCTATCGTGGAAAAAGGAGCGCTGAGCCTGTTGCTGAGCCTGAAGCTGAGCCTGGTTACCTAGGCGGCTTCAGAGGCTTTGGAGGCTTCGGGGGAGGATATGGAGGCTATGGTGGAGGTTATGGAGGATACGGAGGCTTCTATCGTGGAAAGAGGAGCGCTGAGCCTGGTTACCTAGGCGGAATTGGAGGCTTTGGCAGAGGTTTTGGAGGGGGCTATGGAGGCTACGGAGGCTATGGGGGCTATGGATACTATGGCTGAACATCAGCAACTGTCTGCTGACTTATTATGATTGAGATTTAAAATGTAAAATATATAAATTAAAAGACGACAAATTCTCCCATGATTTTCTTTCGGTTCTCCATTGCGTATTTCCGGTGAAAATATATATTTCATTGACAGTATTGCAGAAATAGTATGTCACTGTTCTTTTACTTACATAATCCACAATCAATTAAAAAGTTGTATACAATAAAAATTATTTAATTCTACACGACCAGACGAACTTATTATAGATTTATGGCCAAAATCTGTCAGGCTACTATCTAATCTTGTTTATATGACTCCAAGTTAGTGGATTGACTTGTGTAAACCTCAACACGTAATCAGTGCTATTGGTGGTATATCATTATAAAATGTGTCATTGTGTTATGTATAAGTTGATAAGGAAATCTACCACTGATAAACATTAACATGAATTAATATTATGGGGCACTCCGCTTTGTCTGGGTCTCTCTCTCTTCTCTCTCATCCCTAATCTTGTTTATATGACTCCAAGTTAGTGGATTGTTGTAAACCTACGTCGCTCCGTGTTCCTCCCTCTTCACTCTCCTATTTCAGTGACTATTGGTGGTATATCATTATAAAATGTGTCATTGTGTTATGTATAAGTTGATAAGGAAATCTACCACTGATAAACATTAACATGAATTAATATTATGGGGCACTCCGCTTTGTCTGGGTCTCTCTCTCTTCTCTCTCATCTCTCTACTCCTTCCGCCCTCTCTCATCCTTCTTCCCCCCTCTCCCTTTCTCCTCGTTTCTCCCTCCCCCCCAACATTCTCCTCTTCCCCTTTCCTCTACTCTTTCTGTCTCCAGTCTCTCCACCTTTCTCCTCTCGCACACATTGTCCCCTCCCTCCTGTCCTCCCCTCTCAACCCTTTCCCCCAATTTCCTCCCCCTCTTTCACTTCTCCCCCTTCTGCTACCCCCTCCATCTTTCTGACTCCCTCCCCCTCTTCCTTTTCCTTCACACTTCTGCTAAAACCCTCCTCTCCAAGTTCTCATTTCTGGATAAAATTCCGTACAAGCTTTGACAATCAGAGTTGATTCAGTCTTGGGATTGAGATTCTTTGCAATTTGGTTAACAGGTTCCTTTAATCTTTTTTTTGTTTACAGGCCCGTTTGTCGCTGCCGTGTTTAATGATAAAAAGTTTAACATTATATGGTATACGTAGTGAACCTGAGAATTGTATATGAATGAGCTGGGTATGGAAGCGGGAATGGTAGACAGATGATACATACCAAGAAGCCAACATGTACTCAGCCTCTTTATACACCGAGAAATGCTTTAGCAGGCCTCATACGTTGAGTGAGATCCTAATTTCTTCACATCCATTTGGGTCACAACAAAATCATGTAGATACAGATGGAAAACTTTACTTTGCTAAGTCACTTTCTTGGAACTAGATGTGAAGTTTGATACACAAATGAATAGTTTTAAATGTTTAACATATCCAAGACGAACCTAAATTATCCTAGCTTAAAAAGACTTAAGCAGGACGCGTTAAGCTTTTCTTAAAATTAAGTTATCTTAACGTAACCTAACCTAGCTTACCTTAAGCCTAGTCTAATATTACATAACTTCTGCAGGAAAAGCTTAATCTTTCTTAAACCTGACCAAACATAGCATAACCTAGCCTAACTTAGTATATCTAAAACATTACATAATATAAGAAGGATGAGCTTATATTATTTAATTCTAACCTAACCTAGCCTAAGCTAGACTCCCTATCCCAGTATTACGCAATTTAAACAGGTCGAGCTGAGTAATTCTCAAACCTAACTTAACCTAACCAAGCATAATCTAACTTAACCTAACCAAGCATAATCTAACTTAACCGAACCTAGCGAAACTAAACCTAACCTGAACTGGCCAAATCCAAGCTAACCTAACTTAACTTAACACAACCAATCCATATATAAGTATCTCCCATGTGTACATTGGAGATGAACATTGCAATTGGTGTTATGATAACTGAAATACGAACGAAAATATATATCGATAAAAATATAACAATAATGTCGCCAGATATCTTAATAAAATAGTATTAATAAGTAATATGGCACAGTAGTAAGTAAAACTGGACCACAGACGTGAGGTTACAGGTTCAATTTGCACTGCAAGAGAAAAGAGTTTGGGTAACGTTTCTCTTCGCTTGATGCCTCTGTTCCCCCTAACAGCAAACAGGTATCAGGGAGTTAGACAACTGTTGTTGGTTGCCTACAGAGGAAGATCAGAAGTTGGTCTACAGCGAGCTTCATAAACCAAACAGGCTTCCTTGTTTATGACAATGGAGAACCAATGCTTAAGTGATAAATGCTGACATTAATTTCCACTTAACCACGAAATTAATTGGAAATTATCAACATGTCTACAGACTTGTAGATTGTGAACATGACTGCAGACTTGGAGATTATAAACATTACTGCAGCCGTGGAGATTATCAAATGATTTCAGGCAAGGAGATTATAAACATTACTGCAGGCGTGGAGATTATCATGTGTCTACATGGGTGGAAAATATCAAGATTACTGCAGGCTTGGAGATTATTAACATTATTGAAGGCGTGGAGATTATCACCATTACTGCAGGCGTGGAGATTACTAACATTACTACAGGTGTGAAGATTAGCAAAAGATATGTTAATTTAAGCTTACTTTAACTTTGCAAGATATGAAACTCATATAAACAGTACAATGACCTATATTATATAACGATACCCACCAACAGTGCCAGAGTCGTATTGAGGTTCATACAAAATAACTTCTTCTGGCCTTGAAGCCATTCAGGTAAGAGCAAAATACTCTGAGTGACAATTTTTTTCATAAATCTATACCAAGATAAGAACCTATGGTTACATATATATGAATCTTTTTCACTGAATGCAATTTTTTAAATTGTTCATGTATTAGAAAAAACTGAGAAATCTTATATCAAATTTTAAAACTTTCAGTAGATTAGTGGTTCCATAATATAATTTAGTGATCAATATAATATAATATATACTTTTAGCGAAAATACACAGAGGTGAACAAAGAAAAATCACGGGTGAAATTTATGTGCAATGAATATATATAATTTTGCATGATTAAATCTCTGTTATAGTAAATAAAAAGGACAGTCAGCTGACAATTCCTGATGTTCAACCATAGTATCTATAACCTCCGAAGCCTCCATATCCTAATCCAAAGCTTCGGCCAAAGTCGCCTAGATAACCTGGATTATCTTCAGGCTCAACGCTCCTCTTTCCACGATAGAAGCCCCTGAGGCCTCCATATCCACCTCCGAAGCCGCAATACCGTCCCCAGAAACCTCTAACGCTTCCATAACCTCTACCGAAGCCTCCGAAACCACGTACATAACTTGGATTAGCTTCAGGCTCCTTTTTACTCGGTAATAGTCTCCGCAACCTCCATATCCACCATCAAAACCTCCAGATCCTCCCCTAAGACTTCCGAATCCACCTAAGTAACTAGGCTTAGCAACTGGAAAAGGCTCAGCAAGTGTGGAAGTCTCAACTCTTGTGTACACCAAGCAGTAAGCGATAACAATCACCTATTGGATAAACACAAAAATTACTTCTATGAGAGTATGCTTGAATTTAATGGCTTAAAATCGATCAATTATATGAAGTAGATTTATAAATAAAGAAGTTATATATAGGTCAAACAAATAATTATTCATCTCAATGATATATTTAAGATAAAACGATAAGGACATAGAAGTAAATGAAACTGCAGAAGGCCTATTAGCCCATGCCAGTCACGTCCAACCTACGCTTGAACCATTCAAGGGTTCCAAATTCAATTCCCAAACCCAGGTCTTTTTTCAATTTAAAGTTGCACAACTTATATGTCATTACTAAGGTTCCCCCTTTTATGTTCCTTCAGTTGTGGCTGACGTATGTATTTACATACGTCAGCCACGTCACCTGTTACTTTTTGCCTCTCTCGGGAATATAAGCTTTCAAATCTCTCTCATAAGAGTGTTACAGTTCCGGGATTACGTATGTCGCCGATCTTTGTGAAGAATGTCCATTCTATAATACGGTGCGTGAAATTGAACTACATACAAAATAAGGAATAAACCTAGTAAACCTGAATAAAAATTGTACATGTGTTAATACTTACACATCTTGTTATAATTTTGCATTATTAGCCTTATTTCAAACATTTATACATTGGTTTATTTTCCCAAAATCATGGGACGCTGTACCGGTGAATACAGATATTTAGGACGCTGTACTCTTGGATTCAGACTCTTGGTACGCTGTACTGTTGGATATAGAAACTTGGGATGTTATGCTGCTGGATAAAGGCGCTCGGTGCTTTTTACAGACAGATATATTAATTGGGATGTTATACTGCTAGATATAGACTCTTGGGATGGTGTACTTGTAGATTTAACGTAGATGTAGATGATTGACATTTAAAAGGTAAAATATATATATCAAAAGACGACAAATTTTCTCCCATGAATTTTATTTCGATACTCAATTGCGTATTTCCGGTTAAGATATATTTTTCGTTGATAGCATTGCAGAAATAGTTTGCCGCTGTTCTATTACTTAGGTAATCCACCATCAATTAAAAAGTTGTATCCTGTAAAAATTATTTCTACACGACCATACGAACTCAGTATAGATTTATGGCCAAAATCTGTCAAAGGATTGTTTAGTCTTGCTTGTATGACTACAAATTAGTGGGTTGACTTATGTAAACCTCAAAAGGACTCCTGTGCTATTGGTGGTATATCACTATAAAATATTGGTCATTATGCTATGAATAATGTTGATAAGGAAATTTACCGGTGGAAAACTAAACATGAATTATTAAGGGGCACTCGGCATTGCCTGGGTCGCTCTCCGCTCTTCTTTCTCATCTCTCTACTCCTACCCCGCCCCCATCTCTCATCCCTCTTCACCCTCTCACCTTCTTCTCGTTAACCCCCCCCTCCCCATCATCGTCTTCCCCTTTCCTCCCCTCTCTCCACCTTTCTCCTCTCGCCCCCTCTGCACCCTCCCTCCTGTCCTCCCCTCTCAACCCTTTTCCACCAATTTTCCACACCTCTTTCACTTCTCCTTCTTATTGAACCCCTCCAATTTAACCCCCCTTTTTTTTCCTTCCCACTTCTACTAAAGCCACCCTCTCCAAGTTCTCATTTCTGGATAAAATTCTGAACTAAATTTGACAGAATTGGTGAAATCTTGGGTTGGGATTCCTAGCAACTTGGTTAACAGGTTCCTTTAATAGTTCGATTTTTATTCAGGCTCGTGCGTCTCTGCTGTGTTTAATGCAGACAAGTGTGTCGTTATAAGGTATACTTACTGAACCTGAGAATTGTGTATAAATGGGCTGGGTTTGGAAGCGGGAATGGTAGACAGATGAGACATAATGTGACACCATCATGTACTCAGCCTATTCATACACACCGAGAAACGCTTCAACCGGGCTCATACTTTGGGAGAGATCCATATTTATTCACATCCATTTGGGACACAACAAAGTGAATTAGATATAGATGGAAAACTTTACTTTGCTTAGTCACTTTCTTGGAAATAAATGTGAAGTTCGGTATACAGCTGAATAGTTTTAAATGTCTAACATAACCAAGACGAACCTAGATTATCCTAACTTAATGACTTAGGTTGGACGAGCTATGTCTTCCTTAAAATTAATTTATCTTAAAGTAACCTGACCTTGCTTACCTTACACCTGTTCTAATAATACATAACTTAAGCAGGAAAAGCTTAATCTTTCTTAAACCTGACCAAAATTAGCATAAACTAACCTTGCTTAGAATATCTTAACATTACATAACTTAAGAGGGATGAGCTTATATTTCCTAAACCTAATCTACCTTAACCTAACCTAGCCTAGCCTAAGCTAGGCTTTCATATCCAAGTATTACACAATTTAAACAGGACGAGTTGAGTCATTATCAAAACTAACTTGACCTAACCACATATAATCTAACTTAACTGAACCTAACGAAACTAAACCTAACCTAACCTGACCTAACACAAGCTAACCTAACATAACATAACACAACCTATCCATATATAAGTAACTCCCACGTGAACATTGGAGATGAACATTTCACTTGGTGCTATTATAACTGAACTACGAACGAAAATATATCGATTAAAATATCACAGTAATGTCGCCAGACATCTTAATATAATAATAATGATCTCTAATATGGCATAGTAGTAAGTTTAAATGGACCACACACGAGAGGTTGCGGGTTCAATTTGCATTGCAGGAGAAAACAGTTTGGGTAACGTTTCTCTTCGCCTGATGCCACTGTTCCCCCTAACAGTAAACAGGTATCAGGGAGTTAAGTAACTGTTGTTGGTTGCGTCCGGGGAAAGATCAGAAGTTGGTCAACTGAGAGCTTCATAAACCAAGCAAGCTTCCTTGTTTACGACAACGGAGAACCAATGTTTATTATATAAATAATGACGTTAATCTCCACATACCCACGAGATTAATTAGAGATTATCGACATGCCTGCAGACGTGTAGATTATCAACATTACTGCAAGCATGGAGATTATAAACATTACTGCAACCATGGAGATTATCAACATTACTGCAGGCGTGGAGATTATTAAATGACTGGTGGTGTGGAAATGATGAAATGACTCCTGGCGTAGAGATTATTAAATGAATGCAGACGTGGAGATTATTCAATATCTCTTGGCGTGTAGGTTATCAAATGAATGCAGGCGTGGAGGTTATTCAATAACTCCTGGCGTGTAGGTTATCAAATGAATGCAGGCGTGGAGGTTATTCAATAACTCCTGGCGTGTAGGTTATCAAATGAATGCAGGCGTTGAGCCTATGAACATTACTACGGGCGTGGAGAATATTAAAATTACTGGAGGCGTGGAGAATATTAAAATTACTGGAGGCGTGAAGATTATCAGATGACTACAGGCGTAGAGATTACCAACATTACTACCAGAGTGAAGATTAACAAAAGATATGTTATTCTAGGCTTACTTTAACTTTGAAAGATATAATCATCTTATAAACAGTACAATGACCTATATTTTACAAACGATACTCACCAACAGTGCCAGAGTCGTATTAATGTTCATACAAAATAACTTCTCTTGGCCGTGAAGCCATTCAGGTAAAAGTACAGTACTCTGGGTGAAAAAAAGTCATAAATCTATACCAAGATATAGTCGTCTGGTTGCATATAAATAAATTATGGTTGCATATAAATGAATTATTTTAACTGAATGCAATTTTTTAAATTGTTTATGTATTAGAAAAACGGACAAATCCTACATCGAATTTCAAAACTTTCAGTGAATTAGTGGTTCCATAATATAATTTAGTGATCAATATAATATATTTTAGCGAAAATACACTGAGGGTCGAAAGGAAAATCACGGGTGGAAGTTTGTGTGCTACGGATACGTATAGTTTTGCACAATTAAATTTCTGTTATAGTAAATAAAAAATAAAGTCAGCTGACAATTGTTGATATTCAACCAATGTATCTACAACCTCCAAAGCCTCCATATCCTAATCCAAAGCCTCGGCCGAAGCCTCCAAAACCGCCTAGGTAACCTGGATTAGCTTTATGTTCAGAGCTCCTCTTTCCACGATAGAAGCCTCCGAAGCCTTCATATCCTCCCTGAAACCTCCATAGCTTCTATACCATCTCCAAAACCCTCCAAAACCTTGACTGAGGCCTCTAATCCGCTTAGATAACCTGGAATAGCTTCAGGCTTCTCTTTCCGCGGAAGTAGCCTCCACAAAACCATGCCACGACCAAAGCCTCCATATTCTCCCCTAAAGCCTCCGAATCCACCTAAGTAACTAGGTTTAGCAACTGGGGAAAGCTCAGCAAGTAAGGAAGGCTCAGCGCTCGTGTACACAAAGCAGTATGGGGGCAACACTCACTTATTGGATAAACACAAAAATTACTTCTATTAGAGTGTGCTTAAATTTAATGTGGCTTAAATCGATCAATTATAGGAAGTAAATTTGTAAAGATGTTATATATAGGACAAACAAATAAGTATTTATCTCAATGATATCATTAAGATAAATCGATAAGAACATAGAAGTAAACGAAGCTGTAAAAGGAATATTAGCTATGTCAGTTAGGTCCAACCTTCGTTTGAACCATTCTAGGGATTCAAATTATATTTCCACACCCAGTTTTTTTTTAATCTAAACTTGACAATTTATAAATTATTCCTAAGGTTCCCCGGTTATGTTCCTTTATCCATTTGCATACGTCAGTCATGTCACCTGTTAATTTTTGTATTTCCAGATAATGTAAGCTTTCACATCTCTCTCATAAAGGAGTTTTACTGGTCCGAGATTAACTTTGTCGCCGTTCTCTGTAAACTTCGTAAAGAATATGTCCTTTCTCTAATACGGTGCCTGAAATTGAATTACATACCAAATGAGGTTACCTAGTAAACCTGAAGAAAAACTGTAGATGTGTTAATACTAACACTTCTTCATTTTTTTTTTTTTATTATCACCCTTATTTCAAACATTTATTCATTAATTTATTTTCTCAAAATCTTGGGACGCTGTATTGTTGGATACTGACACTTAGGACGCTGTATTGCTGAATACATGAGCTCGGGACGTTTTGCTGCTAAATATAGGCACTAAGTACGTTATGCTGCTGGATACAGAAACTTGGGAAGTTATGCTGCTAGATACAGACACTCGGTACGTTTTACAGATAGATATATCAATTGGGTCGCTATACTGCTAGACATGGTCTCTTGGTATGCTGTACTGGTAGATTGTACCTGAACCACTTGTGAAGTTGTACAATTACACTTGGGACCTTTCAAATAAATAGGACTGTATATTCCAGATACCACATATTTATTCTTCATTTTCTGCTACATTTTCTCTTGACTTCGGTTTAATAACATATGGGAAATTACTTTGGAATTAACATTACAATACATATTTCATAATTGTTATTTTTCTTTTAATCACTTCTGTTATGAATTCTAATTATTTTGGTAAAGTTATATTTACTGAAAATGTTGTCTATCCTCTATTCTATTATTTTAGGCGAAACACTGGATGTGGATGTAAGAGTGGGCGAGTACCATGAGTCGATGAGAACTGTGGGTGAAGCAGGGCGTGGGTGAGTACTCTGGGTGTGGATGAATGAGTGCTGTAAGTGACGGTGGGTGAGAACTGCGAGTGATTTAGTGTGTATATGAGTGGGTGGAAGAAGAATGGCGTGAATAAGTGGATGGGTGATTAATGTAGGTTAGTGAGTATTGTGGGTGGCGCTGGGTGTGGATGGATGAGTTCTGTGGGTGACGCTGGTTGTGGGTGAGTGAGAACGGTGGGCGACGTTGGGTGTGGGTAGATGAGTACTGTGGGTGACGCTGGGTGTTAGTATGTGTATGACGCTGCATGTGAGTGGGCGGGTGAGCACTGTGGGTGACGCTGGGTGTAGATGAACGAGCATGTGAGTACTGTAGGTAAAGTGAGGCTTCCGTATGGAATATAAATAAATGTTTAATTTTGGAACAATCACACTGGAAACTGTTGACCTTCACTGAGCGGTATAAAAGGACGCGTTGGCTCCAGCTGGACACAGTCAGCCGACAGTCACCCCACAGTCATGACGTCCCTGGTGAGTTATACACCCGTCCTACGAGATACATGTACACCGACAAGTGTACCCTGCTCCTTGTTATACATACACTGGGAGCTTACTTTGGTCATGGACAATGTTGAGCAAATAGTTGCTATGTTGTTAAAGCTATTGTCGTGACCTTAACTACCCTCCAGATGTAAAAATGTCTATGGCACAACACTTTCTTCTTCTTAAGCCTCTTAGACGTAGTATCATACATTTACTATTAAAAGTTATATTGTTCTCTTATATGCTATTTGCTGATTGTATTTATAAATATATCCTTACCAGTACATCTAGTCACAGTATTTTAGGGTTATAGACATGGACAACGATAAGTTAGTTACCAGATACCAACTGAACAGTGTTGATATTGCCAAATCTGAATGAGTAGACATCTGGGAGTCATGATTAGTTTGGATTTTTAAGCTAAGAAATCGATGTAATAATGTTTAAAATATTACAAGTAGATCAGAATTCATTACAGGAAGAGTCAGTAATATGCCACCCGTACACTTGAAACTCCTCTAAACCCCTATGCACTAGACCGCATAGCACCCGCCATAGACCACTACACCACGACACTGACAAAAACCGTGCAATGTGGGATTCAACTGAATCCTCTAGATGTCCTGAGGCTTCCGCTGAAGCCCAATCTGGGTTTCACGCATTGCCCCCCAAGCACTATGGCAATGGTCCAGAAGTGCTGCCTCCAACGCTTCTCCGGTAAACATTGGTTCGGAAATAGGGATTCTTGATTTATGGAACATATTTCCGGAAAACATAACAGACGGGGCATAGCTGGAGCGTTTAATGTGAAGTTTAGTTTGGTATATATAGGAATACCCATCTCTTGTTTCCTGTGTTTAGTTATCTTTTCGCTATTGATTTTGAAGGCAATCGTTTAGTTGTTTGAATTATATATAATTACTGAATATAAAATTCTACTTGTTGTAACTGAAAATATTTTAAGCTTCCCTCAATTTACGTGTAATCTCATTGAAGTAATGTTTGTGTTGATCTTACAGGTGATTGTTGCCGCCCTGGCCACCTCCTGCTTTGTGGCCACAAGCGCTGAGCCTTCCCCAGTTGCTGAGCCTGGCTACTTAGGGGGATTCGGTCGTGGTTTCGGAGGCTTTGGGGGAGGATACGGCGGCTTCGGTGGAGGTTATGGAGGATACGGAGCCTTCTATCGTGGAAAGAGGAGCGCTGAACCTGAAGCTGAGCCGGAAGCTGAGCCCGGTTATCTAGGTGGCTTCAGAGGCTTTGGAGGCTTCGGTGGAGGATATGGAGGCTATGGTGGAGGTTATGGAGGCTATGGTGGAGGTTATGGAGGATACGGAGGCTTCTATCGTGGAAAGAGGAGCGCTGAGCCTGAAGCTGAGCCTGGTTACCTAGGCGGCTTCAGAGGTTTTGGAGGCTTCGGGGGAGGATATGGAGGCTATGGTGGAGGTTATGGAGGCTATGGTGGAGGTTATGGAGGACACGGAGGCTTCTATCGTGGAAAGAGGAGCGCTAAGCCTGAAGCTAATCCCGGTTACCTTGGCGGCTTTGGACGCTTCGGCGGAGGCTTTGGAGGGGGCTACGGAGGCTACGGGGGCTACGGAGGCTATGGATACTATGGTTGAACATCAGCAACTGTCTGCTGACTTACTGTGATTGAGATTTAAAATGTAAAATATATAAATTAAAAGACGACAAATTTTCTCCCATGAATTTTATTTCGATCCTCCATTGCGTATTTCCGGTTAAAATTTATTTTTCATTGATAGTATTGCAAAAATAGTTTGCCGCTGTTCTTTTACTTACGTAATCCACAATCAATTAAAAAATTGTATAGTGTAAAAATTATTTCTATACGACCAGACGAACTCAGTATAGATTTATGGCCAAAATATGTCAAAGGACTGTTTAGTCTTGCTTGTATGACTACAAATTAGTGGGTTTGAAGTGTGTAAACCTCAACACGACTCCTGTGCTATTGATGGTACATCATTATAAAATATTGGTAATTGTGCTATGCATAAGTTGATAAGGAAATTTACCAGTATAAAATTAAACATGAATTATTAAGGGGCACTCGGCATGGCCTGGGTCTCTCTCTTTTCTTCTTTCTCATCTCTCTACTCCTACCCTCTCTCTCATCCCTCTTTCCCCTCTTACCGTCTTGGCGTTTACCCGACCCCCACTCAAAAAAAATCATCGTCTTCCCCATTCCTCCCCTCACTCCACCTTTCTCGTCTCGCCGCCTCTGCACCCTCCAACATGTCCTCCCCTCTCAACCCCTTTCCACCAATTTCCACACCTCTTTCACTTCTCCTTCTTATTCAACCCCTCCACTTTTAACCCCCCCCCCCCTTTGTTTTCCTTCCCACTTCTACTAAAGCCACCCTCTCCAAGTTCTCATTTCTGGATAAAATTCTGTTCTAAATTTGACAGAGTTGGTGCAATCATGTGTTGGGATTCCTCGCAACTTGGTTAACAGGTTCCTTTGATAGTTCGATTTTCATACAGGCTCGTGCGTCTCTGCTGTGTTTAATGCTAACATGCCTGCAGACGTGTAGATTATCAACATTACTACAGCCGTGGAGGTTATAAACATTACTGCAACCGTTGAGATTATTAAATGACTGCATGCGTGGAGATTATTATATGACTTCTGGCGTGGAGATTATTATATGACTTCTGGCGTGGAGATTATTAAATGACTCCTGGCGTGGAGATTATTACATGACTCTTGGCGTGGAGATTATTATATGACTCCTGGCGTGGAGATTATTATATGACTTCTGGCGTGGAGATTATCAAGATTACTGCTGGCGTGGAGATTATCAAGATTACTGCTGGCGTGGAGATTATTAACATTACTGCAGGCGTGGAGACTTTCAACATTACTGCAGGCGTGAAGATTATCAGATGACTGCAGGCGTAGAGATTACCAACACTACAACAGGAGTGGAGAATAACAAAAGATATGTTATTTTAGGCTTACTTTAACTTTGAGGGTTATAATCATCTTGTAAACAGTACAATGACCTATATTTTATAACGATATTCACCAACACTGCCAGAGTCGTATTGAGGTTCATACATAATAACTTCTGGTGCATATGTATATATATATATATATATATATATATATATATATATATATATATATATATATATATATATATATATATATATATATATATATACATATGCACCAGAGGTGGTACCCCTTCTAGGTTTTAAAATATGTATATATATATATATATATATATATATATATATATATATATATATATATATATATATATATATATATATATATATATATATATATATATATATATATATATATATATATATATATATATATATATATATATATATATATATATATATATGTCGTACCTAGTAGCCAGAACTCACTTCTCAGCCTACTATGCAAGGCCCGATTTGCCTAATAAGCCTAGTTTTCATGAATTAATGTTTTTTCGACAACCTAACCTACCTAACCTAAGCTAACCTAACGTTTTTGGCTACCTAACCTAACCTAACCTATGTTTATAGGTTAGGTTAGGTAGGGTTGGTTAGGTTCGGTCATATATCTACGTTAACTTTAACTCCAATAAAAAAAAATTGACCTCATACATAATGAAATGGGTAGCTTTATCATTTCATAAGAAAAAAATAGAGAAAATATATTAATTCAGTAAAACTTGGCTTATTAGGCAAATCGGGCCTTGCATAGTAGGCTGAGAAGTGAGTTCTGGCTACTAGGTACGACATATATATATATATATATATATATATATATATATATATATATATATATATATATATATATATATATATATATATATATATATATATATATATATATATATATATATATATATATATATATTGCACGATTAAATCTCTGTTATAGTAAATAAAAGAACAGTCAGCTGACAATTGTTGATATTCAACCAAAGTATATATGTAACCTCCAAAGCCTCCATATCCTAATCCAAATCCTCGGCCAAAGTCTCCGAAGTCGCCTGGGTAACCTAGATTAGCTTCAGGCTCCTCTTTCCACGGACGTAACCTCCGCAACATCCATATCCACCACCAAGTCCTCCATATTCTCCCTTAAAACCTCTGAATCCACCTAAGAAACCAGGTTTAGCAACTGGGGGAAGGTTCAGCAAGTAAGATTGATTGATTGCACATTTCCGGTGAAAATATATATTTCATTCAGAGTATTGCAGAAATAGAATGCCACTGTTCTTTTACTAACATAATCCACCATCAATTAAAAAGTTGTATACAGTAAAAATTATTTATTTCTACACGACCAGACGAACTTAGTATAGACTTATGGCGAAAATCTTTCAGAGTACAGTTTAATCTTTAATAAGCCTCCAGCAACCTGGAGGTCTGGTCGGGGACCGGGCCGCATTGATGTTGACCCCCCGAAATCATCGCAAGATAACCGCAAGGTAAGTAACCGCAAGTGAGTCTTCTTTAAATTCTGTAAGCTCAAACTGCATTTTTGTCTGTAATTTTCAGTATCAATGTACGGGTTCAATTTTTTAATATTTTGAAATGCTGAAATGACAGTGTATTTTGGTCGTCAGTTTCCAAAATGCATTTTTTCATAATTTTTGCTAATAAAAGCGTTAAAGCTGCTATATAGTTATATATCGTATCTCTAGTTTGATAGTTTGCTTTAGGGAGGGAGTTGAAGTGAAGTGGGTAAACAGTATAACTTCAGTTATTAAGTTTGTTTTTCAATGTATGCGCAGCTCTATCCTAAATTTTGTCAATAAAGTTTGTTTATGACTATGGGCAAGAATACTAAAGTAGTGGCGAGTTCCTCATTATTTACGCGTTGGGAGTTAGGGAGTGTAATATATTCTTAGTAGCTTCGAAACACTACAAAAGAAAAATTAAATGACCTGAGCTCTTTCTTTCCACTTGAGGACGTCGTCAGAGGCAGCACATGAGAGAAAAGGGAGTCAAGCACAGAACAGACCAGTTTAGGATTTATTGGCATATTAGGTGCATCTGCATTTGTGCAGCTACCCTAGACTATATGAAAGGGGTACATAGTGTGTTAAGAGCTAGCTACAGGATGCTAAAAAAAAATCCCCATCGCAGAGCGTGGTTAGACATACAGGGCCAAGTGACCAGCAGCCTGCACCAGAAAATTTTTAATATATTATGAGGGGATGTCAATGCCATTATGATGAGTAATATTTATGTAAGATGTTATCCATACAAATAAGATTCTAAAACATTCATTATGTGCAGCGATTAGATTGTTTATAATTGTTATTATGATGTTCTTGCTGTCGAACTTGCAAGAAAACTTTTCAAATGCTTGAAGAGCAGACTTTGAATCACAGAAAATTATTCCTCCTACTGTGTTTTTTACTGCACTAGTAGCTAGTTTCTGTGCAGCTAGTTGTTTGTTTAAAGTTCAGCCAGTTGTTTAACCTGACTCAGATAGTCAGTGTGCATATATTGTTTTTGTAAACCCTAAAGGCTGTTACAGTGCATCCTGTTGACAACTGGACTGAGCCAACGATGAAGAAATGTTTTTTTAATTAACACATCTGTATTTATGCAGCTACTCTAGACTATTTAAAGGGGGAGTATAAAGTGTGTCAATACCTACTTACGGGATGCTAAAAATCCCCATCACACAAGGTGATTTTGTCATACAAGTAGGTTGTAACCAACCCATGATTTAGTCATGCCAGTAGTCTTCAATGGCAAACTATGGATGCAGGGTATCCTCGAAAACGCATGAGTGAATAAGGTATTTTTATTATTATTAATACATTAGGAACATCTGCATTTGTGCAGCTACCCTAGACTATATGAAGGGGAGTACAGTGTGTCAAAAAACTAGGTAAGGAAGCTTTTTATTAATGCATTAGGTGCATCTGCATTTGTGCAGCTATCCTAGACTATATGAAGTGGAGTACAGTGTCAAAACGCTAGCTACGTGATGCTAAAAAATCCCCTTCACACAGGATAGGTTAGTCATACAGAGGCATATAAAAAGTAGTCTGCACTGACAGACTCTGGGTTTATTATGAGGATATCATGAACACAAGAGTGAATCAGGTAGCAGTGATACTGAAAGTCCACATCTCGCAAGATGGTTAGTCATTCAGGGCCAAATGTTCAGTAACCTGCACTGGCAAATTTTGGGTGCACTATGAGGATATCTTCGAGAACATGAGAGTGAATAAAGTAATTGCATATGTACCTCATGCCAACGGGTCTGAATGATCTAATAACTGGGCATTTGGTGATGAAGTGTGTGAGACCATGCGGCAGTTCCTGCTCACAGAGTTTGCACCTGGAGTGCTCAGGATTGGAAGACCCGTCACCTGTAACCACCTGCCACAAGTAACGGTAACCCAACCTGAGTGTTTGGACCAACATAGTTTTGACAACACCGATATAAAGTGATAATAAATCAACGGAAACACCAACCAGTATTTCAGAACTTGCTTCATTAAAACTGCAGATTTTTATTTATTTATTTATTTATTTTTTATTTGTACAAGAGTTCTTACATTCATGTACAGCCACTAGTACGCGTAGTGTTTCGGGCACGTCCTTAATACTAAGTTCCCTTGAATAAGACAACGCGAAAAATCGTTTAACAACCAAGTACCCATTTTACTGTTAGAGTGAAACAATAGCTACAGTTAAGGATTGACGCCCAGTAAATCCTTCCCGGCCAGGATACGAACTCAGGACAAAGTGCTTGTGAAACGCTTGGTGAGCGACCAAGATAGGGTTGGTTGGTTTGATGCCAATGTTTCCTTTAGTGTAGCACTTGAGCTGACCCCGATTGGCCTATGCCACTTCCATTCCCCACATGCTTCATGTGTAAAAGTTGGGTGAGGCTAGCTCCAAGTTTTTAGCCTCCTACTTTGGACAGACATTGTCCCATATATGTTATAATATCTTTATATTATATCAACGAATATAAACTCTAATAATGGTATAAACAATGTCTTAGCTCGATATGTTTTTATTGCCTATATATTGATAGTCACAGAAAACAAAAAGTAAGACTCAGCTGACAACATCTGATATTTAGTTATAGTATCCGTAGCCTTCAAATCTTCTCCTGAAGTCGCCAAAGTAACCTAAGTAACCTGAATTAGCTTCAGGGCTCAGCGCACATATTTCCGCGATAGATGTCCCCGTAGCCTCTATATCCTCGGTATCCTAACCCGAAGCCTCGACCGAAACCTCCAAAACCTCCGAAGCCACCAAGGTAACCGGGCTTAGCCTCTGGGGCAGGAGCAGCGCTTGTGTCCACCAAGCAGAAGGCGGCCAAGGCGACAACAATAGGAGAACGCAGTATGGGGTGCATAATATATGACTAAACTAACATGTGTTTTATCTGGTGTCTTGTAAAACAAAAATACAGCAATAACCTACTTCAAACGTGGAATTTAACATTAAATGGCTATTCCGTTTAACATTGCTTTAATTGTTAGAAACCCAAGTCAGCTTGAGGATAACCAACAGTCAACATAGTTATATTTTAAGAAATAAGCATGTAATTAAGGCCGAAGTGCACACTAAAGTTTCCAGTGGGTATAATTCTTATATAAGCCAACCCATTCATGTCCCTGAGCGTCATCGACAGTACCATAGTCATAAGTCAAAGCCAAAAAATGAAACGTAATTTCTATCATTTGTCTAGATCCCCTGATGTTGTTAAAATACTATTTTAATTTTGTCTTACGAGGTGATACATTTAACCGTATCATTGTTTTATACCATCATAATAGAGTGGGTTCCCGGCTACGCATGTGTCACTTTTCGCCTACTATCCATTTTTCTCATCACTGGGGAATCTCTCTCAATCTCCAACTACTCTTATATTTCCCTATCCCCACTCTTCTTCACTCTCCATCAGCTCTCCGAATCGCCACTCACTCTCCGCACATCCCCTCTCTCTCTCCTTCCCTCTACCCCCAACATCCGCCTCTCTCTCTCTCCTTCCCTATTTTTAAACATTCACCCTCTCAACCATTCTCTTTCCCTCCCTCTCACCATCACCTCTCTTTTGAAAAGTAAGATATTGAACTAAAATTGTTAAGTAAGCCTATGGACAATATAACCAATATTTAAGACTTAACTTCGTGAAATCTGAATGGAGGGGTTGGGTTTGGATACCAGTATTTTCTTAAGTATGGTACTGAAGCAGAACCCGCCAGACCTATGATACTGCCGCAGTCAGTACTATGCTGACTCTGTGTCATCATGATACTGACACATTTCACCAACGTGCTTCATGTGAGAAAGTTGGGTGAGGCTAGCAACAGGCGTCTCACTCCAACCTCAGACAGACATTCTTTCTTATAACTATAGAAGATTATTTTGTGTTTTTATTTACTTTCTTAATAATATCGCGTCATATATAAACACTAATAATGATATAAACAATGTTTATGCTTGAAAGTTTTTATTTTTTTATAGATTCAAAGACAGAAAACAAATAGAAGGCTCAGCTGACAATAGCTTGTGTTCAACCATAGTATCCGTAGCCTCCATACCCTCCATATCCTCTCCCGAAGCCTCCAAAGCCGCCGAAGCCTCTACCGAAGCCTCCAAAGTAACCTGGATTAGCTTCAGGCTCAGCAGCAGGCTCAGCGCTCCTCTTTCCACGATAGAAGCCTCCGTAGCCTCCATATCCTCCCCCGAAGCCTCCATACCCTCCCCCGAAACCTCCAAAGCCTCCATATCCTCGTCCGAAACCACCTAGAAAACCTGGATTGGCTTCAGGGTCAGCGCTCCTCTTTCCGCGGTAGTAGCCTCCGTAACCTCCATATCCACCGCCAAAGCCTCCATATCCTCCCCTAAAGCCTCCATAGCCTCCGAATCCTCCGAATCCACCTAAGTGACCAGGTTTAGCAACTGGGGAAGGTTCAGCAAGTGCAGAAGGCTCAGCGCTTGTGTCCACCAAGCAGAAGGCGGCCAGGGCGGTCACAATCACCTATTGGATAAACACAAAATATTACTTCTATTAGAGTAATTTTAATATGGATTATATGGCTTAAAATCAATCAATTATAGGAAGTAGATTTATAAATATCAAACAAGTAACCATCTCAATGATATTATTAAGATAAATCGATAAGGACATTGACGTAACTGATACTGGAGATGGCCTATTAACCCATGCCAGGCACGTCTTACCTACGCTTGAACCATTTTCTAGGGATCCCAATTCTCAGGTCTGTTTTTAATCTAAACTTCTACAGCTTGCGTTTGTCAGTCATGTCACCGGTTACTTTTTGCTTCTCTAGAGAATGTGTGATATCAAATCTCTCTCTCATTAGGGAGTTTTACAGTTCCGAGATTAGCCTTGTCTCCATTCTCTGTAAACTTTGTAAAGAATGTGTCTATTCTATAATACGGTGTCGGAAATTGAACTACATATTCTGAGTGAGACATACACCTAGTAAACCTGAAGAAAAAACTATTAACGTTTTACTTCTAACACTTCTTGTTATATGTATTTATTATTAGTCCTATTTCAAACATTTATACATTGATTTATTTTCCCAAAATCCAGACCAATTATGACCCTCAAATCTCTACGGAATTGAGATTTTAATTTTTTTTTTTTTTTTTTTTTTTTTTTTTTTTGAGATATATACAAGAGTTGTTACATTCTTGTACAGCCACTAGTACGCGTAGCGTTTCGGGCAGGTCCCTGGAATACGATCCCCGCCGCGAAGAATCGTTTTTTCATCCAAGTACACATTTTACTGTTGCGTTTAAACAGAGGCTACAGTTAAGGAATTGCGCCCAGTAAATCCTCCCCGGCCAGGATACGAACCCATGACATAGCGCTCGCGGAACGCCAGGCGAGTGTCTTACCACTACACCACGGAGACTGTATTTCAACAATGCCCAGCTGACATCTGGTAATGTTAATAACATTTCCTTTGTTTAGAAGGTCTAAGATTCAACAAGTCTTCAACATAGCTCAGGACCAAAGTAAACTCTCAGTGTATAGAACCCGTGAAGTGAAATACAATTCTCGGTGTACATGTATCTCGTAAGAAGAGAAAGGACTCACCAGGGACTTCATGGCTGTCGGGTGTCTCTCGACTAACTGTGTCCAGCTAGAGCCAACGCGTCCTTTTATACCGCTCAGTGAAAGCCAACAGTTTCCAGTATGACTGTATTTTCAAGGATAAAAATTACTCTATGTTCCATACGGAAGCCTTTGTAGTATTAATATCGGTTGTGTGGAGACAGCAAAAGCTGCTTACATTGATGATTCTTCGTTAGTCTTTATAATTGTATGTTAGAAGGTTTATGATCGACTCCTTCCCGGACGATGATAGGCTCCTGCCAGGCGAAGACTGACTCCTGTCCAGCCCATGATTAATTCTTGGCCACACCATGATTGACTACCGGCCAAGCCATGGTCGACTCCTGGCCAGACCTTGATCGACTCCTGACCAGACCATGATCGACTCTTGATAAGACCATAATCGACTCCTGGCTAGACCATGATTGACGCGTGGCCAGACCATGATCGACTCCTGAACATGACCATAATATCCTCCCGGCCAGATCATGATCGGCTCCTGGCCAGACAATAATCGACTTCTGTCCAGACCATGATCGACTCTTGGCCAGACCAATATCAATTCTTGGCCAGACCATAATCGACTCTTGGACAGACCATTATCGATTCCTGGCTAGACCATTATTGACTCTTGGTCAGACGATGATCGACTCCTGGCAAGAACATGATCGACTCTTAACCAGACCATTATCGACTCTTGGCCAGACCATGATCGACTCTTGGCCAGACCATGATCAATTTTTTGCCTGACCATGATTGACTTCCAGCCGGACCTTGATCGACTTTTGACTAGACCATGATCGACTCTTGGCCAGGCCATGATTGACTCCTGGCCAGATCTTGATCGACTCCTGGCCAGACTATAATCGACTCCTGGTAATCTTATACTCCCCCATTTCAATCATTAATATATACAGAGGTTATTCGGTGAATTTCCGCATTAACGGAGAAACATCAGATCAAGTCCCTGCCTCCTTGGATTTGGACACGGCAATTCGTGATCTCGAGGGAAGTCAAGGCTCAGAACACCTGTCAGAGAACTCCATATCGTTATAAATGTTTTTTTTATATTTCTGCCGTAACTCGCAGATTCCACCTTGACTCCTCGCACCTGACGCCCTAACCAGTGACCGCTGTGTGTGCATAACTACGCTATAACTCTTTGGGTGTGTATGGCTTTCAGTTTGCCTCACTGATGTATAAACACTGGCATCATGTGTGTGTGGCTCAGGGTCGAGGAGTAAGAGTTACGGTCGAGGGCAGCTCTGGGTGCCCCCAGATCACGGACATCACCTCAGAGCGAGAGGACAAAGAAGGAAACCGGAGACTCAAATAAGTCAAGGAATATGTCAGGAAGACTTTCTAGTTAGCGTTGAAAGTGGAATGGGTTAGACTAATAGGGGTTAAAGGTAATTTAGTTCATGTTTTTAATTAGAAATATGTCAAGAGAAACACGGGGACCAAGTTATTACATTAAATTAAAAAGAGTTTGGAGTATGGGGCCAGGGACGCATGTTGCACTTTGCAAGCACATCTGAATATGACTAGTTGAGCACCTCGCTCCTACTATAGTCATCAACCTACTCATTATCTCCCGGCTTCATCACATTTAACGTTGGATCACAACCAGGCAATGATCCAACAGCCTGGTTGAGCAGTCCAGCAACCTGGAGGTCTGGTTGGGGACAGGGTCGCATTGATGTTGACCCCCAAAATCATCGCAAGATAACCGCAAGGTAAGTAACCACTAGTGAGTCTTCTTTAAATTCTGTAAACTCAAACTGCATTTTTGTCTGTAATTTTCAGTATCAATGTGCGGGTTCAATTTTTTAATATTTTGAAATGCTGAAATGACAGTGTATTTTGGTCGTCAGTTTCCAAAATGCGTTTATTCATAATTTTTGCTAATAAAAGCGTCGAAGCTGCTATATAGTTATATATCGTATCTCTAGTTTCAAAGTTTACTTTAGGGAGGGAGTTGTAGTGAAGTGGATAAACAGTATAACTTCAGTTATTAAGTTTGTTTTTTAATGTATGCGCAGCTCTATCCTGAATTTTGTCAATAAACTTTGTTTATGACTATGGGCAGGAATACTAAAGTAGTGGTGAGTTCCTCATTCCTCCCAACATACGAGTTGGGAGTTAGGGAGTGTAATACATTCATTGTAGCTTCGGACCAATACAAAAGAAAAATTAAATGACCTGAATTCTTTCTTTCCACTTGGGGGACGTCGTCATTAGCCAAACATGAGAGAAAGGGGAGTCAAGCACAGAACAGACCAGTTTAGGATTTATTGGCATATTACGTGCATCTGCATTTGTGCAGCTACTCTAGACTATATGAAAGGGGTACTTAGTGTGTTAAGAGCTAGCTACAGGATGCTAAAAAAAATCCCCTTCGCAGAGCGTGGTTAGTCATACAGGACCAAGTGACCAGCTGCCTGCACCAGCAAATTTTGAGTATATTATGAGGGGATGTCAATGCCATTATGATGGGTAATATTTATGTAAGATGTTACCCATTCAAATAAGACTCTAAAACATTCATTATGTGCAGCGATTAGATTGTTTATAATTGCTATTATGATGTTCTTCTTGTCGAAATTGCTAGAGAACTTTTCAAATGCTTGAAGAGCAGACTTTAAATCACAGAAAATTATTCCTCCTACTGTGTTTTTTACTGCACAAGTAGCTACTTTCTGTGCAGCTAGTTGTTTGTTTAAAGTTCAGCCAGTTGTTTAACCTGACTCAGATAGTCTGTGTGCAAATATTGTTTTTGTAAACCCTAAAGGCTGTTACAGTGCATCCTGTTGACAACTGGACTGAGCCAACGATGAAAACGATGTTTTTTTAATTAACACATCTGTATTTATGCAGCTACTCTAGACTATATAAAGGGGGAGTATAAAGTGTGTCAATACTTACCAACGGGATGCTAAAAATCCCCATCATACAAGGTGATTTAATCATACAGGGCCATGTGATCAGTAGTCTTCAATGGCAAACTTTGGATGCAGAGTATCCTCAAGAACGCATGAGTGAATAAGGTATTTTTATTATTATTAATACATTAGGAACATCTGCATTTGTGCAGCTACCCTAGACTATATGACGTGGAGTACAGTGCGTCAAAAGGCTAGGTAAGGTAGCTTTTTTTAATGCATTAGGTACATCTGCATTTGTGCAGCTACCCCAGACTATATGAAGTGGAGTACAGTGTCAAAACGCTAGCTATGTGATGCTAAAATAGCCCGTTCACACAGGATAGGTTAGTCATACAGAGGCATATAAAAAGTAGTCTGCACTGACCGACTCTGGGTTCGTTATGAGGATATCCCGAACACAAGAGTGAATAAGGTAGCAGTGATACTGAAAGTCCCCATCTCGCAGGATGGTTAGTCATTCAGGGCCAAATGTTCAGTAACCTGCACCGGCAAATTTTGGGTGCACTATGAGGATATCTTCGAGAACATGAGAGTGAATAAAGTAATTGCATAACTCTACGTACCTCATGCCAACGGGTCTGAATGGTCTAATAACTGGGCATTCGGTGATGTAGTGTGGGATTTCATGCGGCAGTTCCTGCTCACAGAGTTTGCAAATGGAGTGCTCAGGATTGGAAGATCCGTCACCTGTAGCCACCTGCCACAAGTAACGGTAACCCAACCTGATCCTGGCAATCCCTATGTCGCACAGTCTGGTGGAAGTTTTGTGCTGCCCATAGATATAGGTTTCAGATCTGAACATATCATAGCTATTTATACTAGTACTTTCAGGATGTTGGGAGTCAGTAAATTCTTTCCTATCAGACCTGAGTGTTTGGACCAATACAGTTTTGACAACACCGATATAAAGTGATAATAAATCAACGGAAACACGAACCAGTATTTCAGAACTTGCTTCATTAAAACTGCAGATTTTTATTTATTTATTTATTTATTTATTTATTTATTTATTTATTTATTTATTTATTTATTTATTTATTTATTTATTTATTTATTTATTTATATGTACAAGAGTTCTTACATTCATGTACAGCCACTAGTACGCGTAGTGTTTTGGGCACGTCCTTAATACTAAGTTCCCTTGAATACGACAACGCGAAAAATCGTTTAACAACCAAGTACCCATTTTACTGTTAGAGTTAAACAAAAGCTACAGTTAAGGATTGACGCCAAGTAATTCCTCCCCGGCCAGGATACGAACCCAGGACAAAGTGCTCGTGAAACGCTTGTTGAGCGACCAAGATAGGGTTGGTTGGTTTGATGCCAATGTTTCCTTAGGTGTGGCACTTGAGCTGACCCTGATTGGCCTATGCCACTTCCATTCCCCACATGCTTCATGTGTAAAAGTTGGGTGAGGCTAGTTCCAAGTTTTTAGCCTCCTACTTTGGACAGACATTGTCCCATATATGTTATAATATCTTTATATTATATCAACGAATATAAACTCTAATAATGGTATAAACAATGTCTTAGCTCGATATGTTTTTATTGTCTATATATTGATAGTCACAGAAAACAAAAAGTAAGACTCAGTTGACAACATCTGATATTTAGTTATAGTATCCGTAGCCTTCAAATCTTCTCCTGAAGTCGCCAAAGTCACCTAAGTAACCTGAATTAGCTTTAGGGCTCAGCGCACCTTTTTCCGCGATAGATGTCCCCGTAGCCTCTATATCATCGGTATCCTACGTATCCTAACCCGAAACCTCGACTGAAACCTCCAAAACCTCCGAAGCCACCAAGGTAACCGGGCTTAGCCTCTGGGGCAGGAGCAGCGCTTGTGTCCACCAAGCAGAAGGCGGCCAAGGCGACAACAATAGGAGAACGCAGTATGGGGTGCATAATATATGACTAAACTAACATGTGTTTTATCTGGTGTTTTGAAAAACAAAAATACAGCAGTTCTCTATTACAAAGGTGGAAATTAACATTAAATGGCTATTCCGTTAAACATTGTTTTAACTGATAGAAACCCAAGTCAGCTTGAGGATAACCAACAGTCAACATAGTTATATTTTAAGAAATAACCATACAATTAAGGCCGAGCTGCACACTAAAGTTTCCAGTGGGTATAATTGTTATATAAGCCAACCTATTCATGTCCCTGAGCGTCATCGACAGTGTCATAGTCATATAAGTCAAAGCCAAAAAATGAAAAGTAATTTCTATCATTTGTCTAGATCCCCTGATGCTGTTAAAATACAATTTTAATTTTGTCTTACGAGGTGATACTATTAACCGCATCATTGTTATATACCATCATACAAGAGGGAAGGGGGTTCCCGGCTACGCTTGTATCTCTTTTCGCCTACTACCCATTTTTCTCATCACTGGGGAATCTCTCTCGATCTCCCACTTCTCTCATATTTCCCTATCCCCACTCTCCTTCACTCTCCATCAGCTCTCCGAATCGCCACTCACTCTCCGCACATCCCCCCTCTCTCTCCTTCCCTCTACCCCAACATTCGCCTCTCTCTCTCTCTATCCTTCCCTATTTTTAAACATTCACCCTCTCAACCATTCTATTTCCCTCTCTCTCACCATCACCTCTCTCTTGAGAAGTAAGATATTGAACTAAAATTGTTAAGTAAGCCTATGGACAATATAACCAATATTTAAGACTTAACTTCGTGAAAACTGAATGGAGGGGTTGGGTTTGGATACCAGTATTTCCTTAAGTATGGTACTGAAGCAGAACCCGCCAGACCTATGATACTGCCGCGGTCAGTATCATGCTGACTCTGTGTCATCATGATACTGACACATTTCACCAACGTGCTTCATGTAAGAAAGTTGGGTGAGGCTAGCAACAGGCGTCTCACTCCAACCTCAGACAGACATTCTTTCTTATAAATATAGAAGATTATTTTGTATTTTTATTTACTTTCTTAATAATGTCGCATCATATATAAACACTAATAATGATATAAACGATGTTTATGCTTGAAAGTTTTTATTTTTTATAGATTCAAAGACACAAAACAAATAGAAGGCTCAGCTGACAACAGCTTGTGTTCAACCATAGTATCCGTAGCCTCCATACCCTCCATATCCTCTCCCGAAGCCTCCAATGCCGCCGAAGCCTCCGCCGAAGCCTCGACCGAAGCCGCCGAAGCCTCGACCGAAGCCGCCAAGGTAACCTGGATTAGCTTCAGGCTCAGCAGCAGGCTCAGCGCTCCTCTTTCCACGATAGAAGCCTCCGTAGCCTCCATATCCTCCGTAGCCTCCATATCCTCCGTATCCTCCATATCCTAGCCCGAAGCCTCGACCAAACCCTCCAAAGCCTCCGAAGCCGCCAAGGTATCCGGGCTCAGCATCTGGTGCAGGAGCAGCGCTTGTGTCCACCAAGCAGAAGGCGGCCAGGGCGGCAACAATGATCTGTTAAGTAAACAAACGTCTTAGTTTACTTTCTTGACACTATGATTAATTGACATGTACGTATACTAAGCAAGTAAAGGTAGAATAAATCTTTACACAGGAATAAAACAAATTAAGACAATTAAACCATCTCCTGGAATTTTGTTACAATAAAAAAATGCTAAAGGGACAGCATATAAGTTAAATTTGAATTATAGTCTATGAACAACAGAGTTGGGTAGAAAAAGGCAAAATGACTGTTAGTATCGAGTTATTAACAACAAACTGCTGAGTATGGGAGACTAAGAGAGTCAGAAGGAGTAACTCACGAAGGTCTTCATGGTTCAGAAGTGTCAGTGTTGACTGTGGCAGCTGGAGGCAGCGCGGCATTATATACCACTCAGGAAAGGGACCGCCCAAACCCTCCCAGTATTTCTTTAGTCTATATTCAGGGTCATACTGAACCAACACTACTTCCCAGTTCACTCGAAGACCTGTGTCACTGTAAAATTTCTTAACTGCTCACTCTCTACCTTGCTGCACTCACTGTACTCACCTGGGCACTCACTTCTGTGCTTAAACCTAATATATATAATATATCAGTGAAATATATATTTAACAGATCTCGAATCCTCTCAATGGAGAACAGAATAAAATGTATATATGCTTGTTACAAGTTTAACTGTGTGTCCATGTCTGTGGTTGATAATAATAGAAAAAATATAAATAAAATTAAAATATATACCTATTCTCTAAAGGCCCCACTTTAATCACATTACCAACCTGTTGGCTCATTCACTCGCCGCAGCTCACTGTTAACCTGTTTACTAGAATAACTTCCCAATTTCTATCACTCACTCCTTACACACCCCGTTTATTGCAATGTTAATTGCTTGTTTATTGATACTACCCTGTTCACCTCTATACACATATTGCTAATCTGGTTATTCATAAAGAATCCCAAACTATAAATAATACTAATTTTTTACTCAATACCTCACTTCACGCACAGCACTAATCTGCTCACAAACTCAACGGCATACTTAACACATTATTCTAAGTGACCCAGGTGACTCACAGTATAATATGTTTGCTTATAAACTCACTTACCCAAAAATAATTAAAGTTTTGTTTGGTTGGTAGTTCATTGACACTCACTGCCCATCTTCATTAGCAGCACTCATCGAATAACTAGATTCATCAGCAGTTCTCACTTGCTCTTATTAAACACCCAGGTTCCTCATTAATAATAAACGATCTCAAAGTCTGTGATCGCTAAAGTTCTTGGAAGACCTTGTTGACATGAGTGAAAATTCAACCATTATTAAGTATTAATTATCAACTCTACATTATTAAGTTGAAGTTGAAGGTTACATATAGGTACTAGAGGATTCATTGTTTCCTTCGGAATTAATCAAATGCTATTGACCAAAGATCGCTGAATTTTAATTCCAAATATCTGCTATTAGGGAATTCCCAGTATATTTATATTAGATATTCAATAAGTTGATTATGGATGTTATAAAACTAAACAACTGTTGTGATTAGAATATAATTTTCATGGACAAATCTATCTAATATATAAAGAGTTTTGTTCCAAGTTGTGACAGGCGGTTTCCACCTTGACTCCACGCTGTTACTGTGTTAACCCAGTGATCTCTGCTCTTGCGTCACGAGATGTAATGTTTTTATGTTTTTTTTTTTTATTTGCGTTGCGGCAGCTGGTAACCGACGTCTGGACCTCAGACACTTTACACAGCCCGTTTATTGCTCCATACTCATCAGTTCACCTCTATACAAATATTGCTAATCTGTTTCTTCACAAAGAATCCCAAATTGTAAATCGTACTAACCTTATTACTCTATACCGTGCGTAACGCACAGTACTAATCTGTCCCTCATACGCAACGGCCTGCTAACACATTGAATTAATTACCCAGAGTAACTCAGAGTATAATCTGTTTACTCTATAACTCAATCCAGCTGTTTACCTGCCTAGTCATTCATCCTGTCCCACCTGCACCCACGGTAATTACTCAACGAAAGACTTCACACAGAATGCTGTTACATACACTCTTCGTCCTGCTTAACCTACAATCCTTCCGCAGGTTTTTGTCATTCTCTGCTCACGTGGCAACCTGCTTCGCCCAGAAGATGGCTTCCCTGTTAACTCTTTGTCATGCTTCATTCTCTGTAATCAATTACCCCTTAGTTCTGTGCTGTAAATTCAATACTGATATATTCACTAAAGAATTATTTTTCCTCCTATTATCAACCTGTTGACGCAGCCACTCGATATCAATCATTGATAACCTGTTTACACTTAGCCAACGTCCCATTTACCCAGCAAAACATTCCATCTAACTAATTTTTTTTACCGCTTATAACGCAATCCAATCTACTCACTCAGTGCACCGATTAATACATTACTAACCTGTTCACCAAATCAATGCCCCAATTAACATATAATTCAAGACTATTTACTAGCTCAGTTCCCAAGATTAGCACACCGTGTTAATCTGTTCACTCACTAAGAACCTCAAATAATGGGTAACACTAATCCGTCTTTTCGATACCTCGCTTCACCAACAACACTACTCTGTTCACTCCATTTACTCAGTTTAGCAGTAGTTAAGAATGTCACTCTGTAGAATTTGGAGAATTCTCAATGTTCAGATGAAAAAAAATGAGATGAAAGGCAAGGTGTTGGTACAGAGCTGCTTCAAAAACAATTATTTTCGCACTCACTCACCAACAGACAATATAAAACAAAACACCTCAACTACTGCAGGCAGGTTAAAAGAGACAAGATTGTGCCAATTTTGGTATATATCTACTTGCTATCTACTCTATGCATTGTTATTTTCTTATACATATACTTCAGTGTTTCAGTTAAAAATGTCGCTCTGATGACAGAACTGTCCCTTGCTGTATCATGCTTTCTGATTTTCTTCTCCCTTGTTTATGCGGTTACTTGTCGTACATTAATTATTAACATGTACATGATACTTTTTTCCGCCTCATTTATATTACGTTAATTACTTTACATTAATCCACATTGATATTTCATTATTTGTTTATTCATTCAACATACAATAGAATCATCAATTTTTGGTATTCTTCTTTTTATAACTGTGAAGATATTTACGTTTCTCTTGCTACTTGCTTGTGGTGACAGACTTCCTCTAACGTTATATATTTATCTGAATTGTCGATAAATCTTTAACCATTTTTGCCTTTACGTTTGTTTTTCATCATAACTAGTTCTTCACTTTTTTTTTCTTTCACTACAGATAGCTCCATCAATGGTGCTCAAGAAACGTATATGCACTTCTTCATAATGATGTACTACTAGACATCTTAGCCCCCAAAGTTTGCTTAGTGTAGGTATTGTTTGCACATGAATGTAAAGCTGCCCCTAGTTGGGTGGGTGTGGAGCAGAATCAGTAACTCTGTAACTAACTCTCTGCAGATATAAACTGCCTGTTTAGAGACTGTTGCAGGCCACTTCTTGAATCAATTGTGATACAAAAAGACTATTGATATATGTATATGTATTTGTGTAAAAGAATTTGAAAACTGTATAACTAGCTTCACCTAGTTAGTACTTGCTAGATAAATGAACTGTGAGATTTAGTTCCCGAACCCATTATTTGCCTCTGTACCTCTTTCCACCACCGCCCACAGGATTGGTAATGGGTGCATAGTATATGACTAAACTAACTAATATGTGTTTTATCTGGTTTGTTGTAAAAAAAATATATATACAGCAGTTCACTAATACAAACCTGTAAATTAACAAGAATTAGTTATTCCTTTTAATTAATATTGCTTAAAGTGATAGAAACCCTAGTCAGCTTGAGGGTAACCCACAGTCAACACAGTTATATTTTAAGAAATAGACATGTAATTAAGGCCTAGGTGCACACTAAAGTTTCCAGTGGGTATAAAGTTTTTATAAACCCACCCATTCATGTCCCTGAGCCTCTTGACATATCATAGTCATATAAGCCAAAGGCAAACTATAAAACGCAATTTCTATCATTTTTCTGGATCGCCTGATGTTGTTAAAATACAATTTAAATGTTATTTCTTACGAGGTAAAAGTTTAGGTTTAACTGTATCACTGTTTTATATCATCATACTATTAGGGAGTAGCCGGCTGCGCCTGTGTCTCTTTTCCCCTCAATATCCCTCTTCCCCCTCTCATCTCTGTCCCAATCTCCCAATTCTCTCATATTTCCCTATCCTCCATTCTCCTTCGCCCAATGTGTGAAAGTTGGGTGAGGATGACTCCTAGCGTCTGGCCTCCATCCTTGGACACACAGACGTTCTTTCTCATATATAAAGATTATCATTTAGTTTTTATTTATAATTGCTTTGTAATATCTCATCAAAATAAACTCTTATATTGATATAAACAATGTTTATGCTCGAAATATTTTTATTATTTTTTTACAGCTTCGAAGACACAGTAAACAAAGAGAAGGATCAGCTGACAACAGCTGGTGTTCAACCATAGTATCCATAGCCTCCGTATCCTCTCCCGAAGCCTCCAAAGCCACCGAAGCCTCCAAAGCCGCCGAAGCCTCGGCCGAAGCCTCCAAAGCCTGGATTAGCTTCAGGCTCAGCAGCAGGCTCAGCGCTCCTCTTTCCACGATAGAAGCCTCCGTATCCTCCGTATCCTCCGTATCCTCCATATCCTAACCCGAAGCCTCGACCGAAACCTCCAAAGCCTCCGAAGCCGCCAAGGTAACCTGGCTCAGCCTCTGGGGCAGGATCAGCGCTTGTGTCCACCAAGCAGAAGGCGGCCAGGGCGGCAACAATGATCTGTTAAGTAAACAAAAATCTTAGTTTACTTTCTTAACATTATGAATAAATGAAATGCACCCACATTAAGTCAGTAAAGGTGGCATAAAAACTTTACTCCAGAATAAAACAAATTCAGGCAATTAAATCATCACCATATTAGTGGTAAATAAATATAGCATGGCAAAATGACAGGATCTAAACAGCGGTTCAAATATTGTCTATCAGCTACGATATTAGGCAGGTAAAGGCAAAATGACTGTTAATATGAAGTTATAAACTACACACACAGCTGAGCATGGGACACTGAGTCAGAGGAAGTAACTTACCAGGGTCTTCATGGCTCCGGATTATCAACGTTGACTGTAGCAGCTGGAGGCGGCGCGGCCTTATATACCACACAAGCGGGGCCGCCCAAACCTTCTCAGTGTTCATTCATATTCAAGGTCTCTCAGAACCCAGAGTACTTCCCAGTTCACTCAAAGATAGCTAACCTGTTCACTTTCGTCCCTCACTTTAACCACCTGAGCACTCAGTTCTGTTTTAAACCTAATATTTATCTATTCTATTAAGGTAAACTTTGCTCACATTAAGAACCTGTTTACTTGGACAAAGAACCATTTTTTCTGCAGTGCTTATATTGTAAATCTTGAAACGGCCTGTTTAATGAACCATGCTAAACTGTTCAGTCATTCACTGCCCCCTCTGAAGTCCCTGTATTGACCTCTTCATTCAGCTTACTATATATCACACACCAATAACCTCTTTACCCACAAAGTATCCCAAATAGCACAGAGTGTTTACCGTTTTATTCATTAACACACTTAACCTACAGTACTAACCAGCTCAAACACTCAACGATCAGCTTATCATATAGAAATTACCTAACCACACACAATGTACCTAGAGTAATTCACGGTATTAACCTGATAACCCAAATCCTCAATTACGCAACAGAAATTAAAATCATGTTTGGTCAGCAACAGATGGACGCTCAATGCCCAGCTCAATTACCAATACTTTCCCTATTTCATAGAACACCCAGATTCTTCAGCAGGTCTTACTTCCTCTCACTGATTACCAAGATTCGTCATTAGCACCCACAAGAGCTCAATATCTATGAGTCTGATGTCGCTTGTGTTCCGGTAAGAATTTGTTGATCTGGATTCAAATTAAACCATCGCAACAACATTATAATGTTGAAGTTAATAATTAGATATTACAGTTACTTGAGGGTTCATTGTTTCCCTCTGAGTTTCGATTACAAATATCTGTTAATGTTCAACTGAATATTCCTTGGAAATTTATATCAGGAATGTTCAACGGACTTTATCAGTTTTTTATAAAACTAAACAAAAGTTATAATTAAAATATAATATCCATAGAAAACGATAACTAAAATATTTAAGGAGTTTTTGTTATCATTTGTGACAATCGGTTTCCACCTTGGCTCCACACTGTTGTTACCTTAACCCAGTGATCTCTGCACTTGCGTCATGAGATGTGATATTTTTTAGATTTTTCAATTTGCGTCACGGCAGCTAGTACTTCACGTTTGGACCACATTCACTGCTTTAATTGTTAACCAGCCTGGTCACTCATCCTCTCCCACCTTCACCCACAGTACTCACTCAACGAAACACTACACCCACGATACTGTCCCATACATTATGCGTCCTGCCTAATCTACAGTATTTATCTGCTTGCGTGCCGACCTCCTTCACTCAGGAGTAGAATTCTAATCTATTTAATCTAAGTCATGTTTCACTCCCTGTAATCAATTACCCTTCAGTTCTGTGCTATCAACATAATATTGACATTCAATATGGAATGATCTTTCTCAATATTTTCAACTTGTTGACTCAGCCTTGACCTAAATATTGACTAAAATATCTTTTAGAATATTCCTTGTCTTCTTTAGATCAGGAATGTTCATCGGGTTTGATCAAGTTTGCTATATAAATAAAACTTGAATAGATATTGGTATTAAAAAAATATTCTAAGATGCTGGATGATATTCCCGTGTTTCTATCAGAAAACAATAGCTTGGAAGGTCAGTGTCTGTAGAATAGTGGAATAATTTCAAAGTTCAGATTAAAAAATAGGCAATAAAATTTACGTGTAGGTACAGAGTTGCTTCAAAATCGACTATTTTCCCACTCAAACACTCACAAACAGATAAGATAAAACACCTCAACTACTGTAGGCAGGTTATAACAAATGCGACTGTGCAGAAGGTATATTTTTAGTTGTCATGTACTTGCTGCATTATTATTTTCAGTAACATTTATTTCAGTGTTTCAGTTCAAAATATCTCTCTGATGATAGGGTATGTCCTTTCTCTATCATGCTTTATCATATTCTTCTCCCTTGTTCATGCACTCACGTGGCGTACATTAATTATTGATATTCTTTTCTACCAACTTTATATTACGTAAATTATTTCATATTAATCCGCATTGGTATTTCTATGATATTTGTCAATTCATTCACCATTCAATAGACTTTTCAATTCTTGGTGTTCTTATGTTTATTACATTGAAGATATTTACTTTTATCTTGGAACACACGTGTGCTGACAGACTTCCTAGAACTTTATGTATTCATCTGCATAGTTTATTACTCTTTAAACATGTTTGTCCTTAAGGTTTGTTTTTCATCATAACTAGTTCTTCATTTTTTTCCCCCCTTCAACTAGCTCCAACAGTGGTGTTTAAGAAATGTGTAAGCACTTCATTGATAATGATATAATGCTTGAAATTTTAGACAAATATCCAAAGTTTGCTTACTGAAGGTAATGCATGCACATGAGTGTAAAGCTGCACATGAGTGTAAAGCTGCCGCATCGTTGGGTGGGTGTTTGTGTCAATTACACAAACTGTGTAACTGACACACCGCAGATATAAATTGCCTCTTAAGAGACTGTTGAAGGCCACCTCTTGAATCACTTGGAGTAAAAGATAAAGCAAATTGTGTAATTAGCTTAATCAAATTGGAACTTGCTAGCTAAATAAGCTGTTGGGTTCAGTTACTGGATTCATTATGTGCCTCTGTAACTCTACCACCGCCCACAGGATTGGTATGGGGTGCATAATATATGACTATACTAACTACCATGTGGTTTATCTGGTCTGTTGTGAAACAAAAATTCAGCAGTGTTCACTACTGCAAACGCAGAAATTAATCTTAAATGGTTATTCAGTTTTACATTGTTTTAAATTATAGAAACCCAAGACACCTTGAGGATAATCTACAGTCAACATAGTTATATTTTAAGAAATGGGCATGTAATTAAGGCCGAGGTGCACTAAATTTTATGTGGACATAAAGTTTTTACAAACTAGCCTATTCAAATCCCAGAGCCTCATTGACAGTATCATAGTCATATAAGTCAGAGCCAAACTATGAAACCCAACTTCTATCATTTGTCTGGCTCTCCTATTGTTAAAATGCAATTGTAATGTTATGTCTTAGGATGTGAGAGTTTTAACGGTATTTGTGTTTTATATCATCATACTAGAATGCTCTCTTCCCCCTCCCCTCTCTCCCAGTCTTCCCCTTGGTTCATATCTCTTTCTCTATCCTCCCTCGCCTTCCCTCTCTACAATTTTTCTCAAAAATCCTCCAACCATCATTTCCCATATCTCTCATTCCTCTCTACTTTCAACATCTCCTTCTCTCTCCTTCCTTCTTTTCAAACATCCGCCCACTCAGTCATTTTCATTCCCTCTCCTGCCTTCACCTTTCTCTAAGATAAATAATATATTAAACTGAAATTGTAAAATAAGCCTTTGGGCAATACAACCAATATATAAGACATGAAAACTGCATGAAGAGGTTGGGTTTAATATCAATATTTCCTCAGTGTGGCACTGTAGCCTACTCCGACAGACCTATGATACTGCCATTTCTCACATCCTTCATCTGTGAAAGTTTGGTGAGGCTACCTTTAAATCTCTTCCAACCTTGGACAGACAGACATTCTCTCATAAACATGGATTATTATTATTTGTTTGATATTTATAATTGCTTTGTAATAACTCATTAAAAATAAAAACTCTAATAATGATATAAACAATATTTGTGCTCGAAATATTTTTATTTTTTAATAAATTCATAGACAAAGTAAACCATGAGAATGTTCAGCTGACAACAGCTGGTGCTCAGCCATAGTATCCGTAGCCTCCGTAGCCTCCATATCCTCTCCCGAAGCCTCCAAAACCGCCGAAGCCTCGGCCGAAGCCACCAAAGCCGCCAAAGTAACCTGGATTAGCTTCAGGCTCAGCAGTAGGCTCAGCGCTTCTCTTTCCACGATAGAAGCCTCCGTATCCTCCGTATCCTCCGTATCCTCCATATCCTAACCCGAAGCCACGACCGAAACCTCCAAAGCCTCCGAAGCCACCAAGGTAACCGGGCTCAGCATCTGGGGCAGGAGCAGCGCTTGTGTCCACCAAGCAGAAGGCGGCCAGGGCGGCAACAATGATCTGTTAAGTAAACAAAAATTTGAGCTTACTTTCATAACATTTGATTAAATGAAACGTACTTACACTAAGCCAGTAAAGGTTGCATAAACTTTACACTGGAATAAAACAAATTTGGACATTTAAACAATCACCTGTAATAGTGTTAAATATAAAATGTGCTAAAGTGACAGCATATATGCTGATTTTGAAACGTAGTCCTAGTAAGCATCAAATGTAGTCCTTGTCAGGCCTCAAATGTAGTCCTTGTCCTTGTCAGACCTCAAATGTAGTCCTGGACAGGCCTCAAATGTAGTCCTTGTCAGGCCTCAAATGTAGTCCTAAACAGGCCTCAAATGTAGTCCTTGTCAGGCCTCAAATGTAGACCTTGTCAGACTTCAAATGTAGTCCTTAACAGGCCTCAAATGTAGTCCTTGTCAGGCCTCAAATGTAGTCCTTGTCAGACCTCAAATGTAGTCCTTGTCAGACCTCAAATGTAGTCCTTGTCAAACCTCAAATGTAGTCCTTGTCAGGCCTCAAATGTAGACCTTGTCAGGCCTCAAATGTAGTCCTTGTCAGGCCTCAAATGTAGTCCTTGTCAGACCTCAAATGTAGTCCTTGTCAGGCCTCAAAAGTAGTCCTTGTCAGACCTCAAATGTAGTCTTTGTCAGGCCTCAAATGTAGTCCTTGACAGGCCTCAAATGTAGTCCTTGTCAGGCCACAAATGTAGTCCTGGTCAGGCCTCAAATGTAGTCCTGGTCAAGCCTCAAATGTAGTCTTGGTCAGGCCTCAAATGTAGTCCTGGTCAGGCCTCAAATGTAGTCTTGGTCAGGCCTCAAATGGAGGCCTGGTCAGGGACTGGGCTCTGGAGTCCTTGAAAACCGGAACCACCGCAAGCTAGTCTATCAGCAATGAAACTAGACAGGAAAGGGTAAAATAGCTGTTGACGTCAAGTTATAAACAGCAAACCGCTGAGTATGGGAGACTAAGAGAGCCAGAAGGTGTAACTCACGAGGGTCTTCATGGTTCAGGAGTGTCAGTGTTGACTGTGGCAGCTGAAGTCGGTGCGTTCCTTATATACTCCATAGGGGCGGGGCCGCCCGAACCTTCTATGTTGTTCTATATTCAAGGTTACACGGACCCAACAGTACTTCCCAGTTCACTCGACGACCTGCTTTATTCAAAGATTCCTAACCTGTTCACTCTTTATCTTGCTTGTCTCACTGTACACAACTGGACACTCAGTTCTGTGCTTTAAATCTAATATTTTCCTGTTCGAAAATGACTCAATCTTGATCACATTACCAACTTGCTGACTCACTCAGACACTAAAGATCTAAGTAATAAGGAACTGCTAAATTTTTTTTCCAACTGTGCTTACATCGTCACTCTTAAAATTCCCTGTTAAATGTACCATACTAACCTGTTTACTCACTCGATGACCTGTTTATATTACCAAGTCCATCCTCCTGTTTCGGTAGTACCTATAGGAAGGAGGAGTCCCATAGTGCATATACGGAAGTACAACGCAATTAGAAAGTAGAAATTGGTACTTTTTAATTACTACAAACCGAAAAACGATTGTCTAATGTTGCAAAGACAAACTAATCTTCCTTGGCGTATTACACGCTACCCGAGGCCCAATATACTACAAATGTGTGCTATACTAGGCCTAAGAATTTTTCAGTTCAGTTTGTTGTTTAGTTTAAATTTTCGGACTCTGTAAAGTAAATAACGTAAAGTTTTACTATCTAATTGCTTAAAACGTCAATCTTTGAACTATGATGCACATACTTTAAAAAATTGCTATCTCAACAAGAGAATGGGTTGCAGCTACCTACTTACCACACTGACCTATTCACTCAGCGCACCGCTTAACCCGCGTTACTAACCCGTCTACTCAAAAATTACCCCAAATAACATTTAGTACTAACCTTCTAACTAAATACAACGCTGAACCTAGAGTACTAAGCTGTTTACCTGCTAAACGGTCATTTGAAAAGCGCCCCGAGTAACTCACAGTATTATTCTGTTTAATCAGGATCTCAATTACCCAGCAATAATTAAAGCACAGTTTGGTAAGCAATATATGGATGCACTATGACCAGCTTCATTAGCAGTACTCGCCCTAATTCATACATCAGTAGAACTCGCAGCAGAACTCTCAGCAGAACTCACAGCAGAACACTCAGCAGAACTCTCAGCAGAACTCGCGTGCTCTCACTAAATACTCTGGTTCGTCACTAGCATTCTCCCGATATCAGTATCTGCGTCTATTATCGACAGAGCTCCTGAAAAACTGCGTTGATATGGATGAAAAATAAACTAGTCACTTCACTGTTAATATTGTAGGTGATAATAAACGTTATAGTTACTGAAGGGTTAATTATTTTCCTCTGAAATTTTCAAAATAGTTTATCAGCATTCGACATATCTAAATTTAACAAATTTGCTTATGTAGTTTCGATTATTCCTACTCTTCTTTAGATCATCTATGTTCGTTGGGCTTAATATGGTTTGCTGTAAACAGAAAAAAGTTTCATTCATTTCATAACGTATACAATTTCAATTAAAAGATTATTCTCAAATGCAGGAGGAAATTCCCGTATTACTGTTAGGAAACAATTATTTGCAAGGTCAATATGTACATAAAACAAAACACCTCAATTGACCTATTGCAGATAAACTAACATTCCTCTATTTGCTCCTAACATTTTTCGGTTTTGCACTCTGCATCCAGAAACCTCTAACTGCAGTTTATCTCAGATGGTCGATGCATTCATAGAGACTGACGGTTGCATTCAAGAATTAGCTAGTCTTCTTCGGGAGAGGTTTTACTTGGCCCACCAAACCGACGTCTGTCGTTAAAGTTGACAGATTCTTCCCACCACCTGCATCACTGTCTAACAGTCGGCTTTGTATTTCCAAGTTCTCTAGCGATGGCGGCGATTGGCATGCCTCTCTCAACGCAACTATTGCCCTTCGTTGACATAGCCTTTCCTCCCTGGAATACATCCTTTAGAAAGAGTCTTTACTCTGGAGTTGATTCGTGGACTGGGAAGTGCGAAGGGATAAAACATAATACTTTCTGCAACAGTTTAATGATTAAACAACCATTGCAGGAAACGTGCTTGTTTTAAGTAGCACTAGTGTGTCGAATAACATATAATCACGTAGTCCATGTTCAGTATAATATATTCATAAAAAAAAAAAATTTCTCTCTCTCTGTCTCTCTCTCTCTCTCTCTCTCTCTCTCTCTCTCTCTCTCTCTCTCTCTCTCTCTCTCTCTCTCTCTCTCTCTCTCTCTCTCTCTCTCTCTCTCTCTCTCTCTCTCTCTCTCTCTCTCTCTCTCTCTCTCTCTCTCTCTCTCTCTCTCTCTCTCTCTCTCTCTCTCTCTCTCTCTCTCTCTCTCTCTCTCTCTCTCTCTCCCTCTCTCTCTATCTCTCCTCTCTCTCTCTCTCTCTCTCTCTCTCTCTCTCTCTCTCTCTCTCTCTCTCTCTCTCTCTCTCTCTCTCTCTCTCTCTCTCTCTCTCTCTCTCTCTCTCTCTCTCTCTCTCTCTCTCTCTCTCTCTCTCTCTCTCTCTCTCTCTCTCTCTCTCTCTCTCTCTCTCTCTCTCTCTCTCTCTCTCTCTGTCTCTCTCTCTCTCGCAAACATTTAGTGCATTATGAGGATCTCCTTAAGAACGTGAAACTTAATAAAGTGCTTGCAACGCTCCAGATACTTCATGCCGGAGGTCTGAAGTGTCCAATATCTGTGGATTTAGAAATGTAATATGTGAGATCATTACCCAGTTCCTGCTAGCAGAGTATGCACCTGGAGTGCTCAGGATTGCGAGAATCGTCACTTGTAGCCACCTGCCACAGGTGACAACTACTTTGTCGCACAGTCTGGCGGACGTTTTGTGCTGCCGTTATACATAGTTTTCCGATCTAAACTAATCATAGCTTTTTATTCTGGTACTTACAGGCCTAATAACGAAGAAATCAATTGTTAAATGAGTCTACGGACATCACTAGTGACCAATATATTACTTTTGACTTAACGAGAACAACACGGAGGGGTTGGGTTTGATACCGATATTTCTGAAAGTGTGGCATTGGAGCTGAATACGACTGGCTTATGATACTTCCATTCCCAACATGTTTCACGTGTGAAAGATTGGTGAGCTAGATTACAAGCGCCAGGCATCCAACCTTGGACAAACAGACATAGATCAGCCCATCCTATTAAGGATTCCCAACGTAAAGAAAATGGTCAAATTAAAGTGTCCTCTTCTAGCTCACAAGAGGACAAAATACTGAATATGGCACAGTACGTTTGCGAGCCACTTCCAGTTTCTAGTACGATAATTTTTGCCCTTATGTAAAGCATACGATTGAAATGCGAAATTCTTTGTAAGAGGACAGGTTGAATAGATATAGAAGATTATTTTTTATCATAGATTTGTAATATTTATTAATATTAATAGTAATATAAACAATGTTTGCGCTTGATATGTTTTTATTATTTTATATATTCAGGCACAGTAAACAAAGAGAAGGCTCAGCTGGTGTTCAGCCATAGTATCCGTAGCCTCCATAACCTCCAAATCCTCTTCCGAAGCCTCCAAAGCCACCGAACCCTCGGCCGAAGCCTCCGAAACCTCCATAGCCGCCAAGGTAACCTGGATTAGCTTCAGGCTCAGCAACAGGTTCAGCGCTCCTCTTTCCACGATAGAAGCCTCCGTATCCTCCGTATCCTCCATATCCTAATCCGATGCCTCGACCGAAACCTCCAAAGCCTCCGAAGCCGCCAAAGTAACCAGGCTCAGCCTCTGGGGCAGGAGCAGCGCTTGTGTCCACCAAGCAGAAGGCGGCCAGGGCGGCAACAATGATCTGTTAAGAAGACAAAAATCTGAGTTTACTTTCTCAACATTATGATTAAATGAAAAGTACCTACACTAATCTAGTAAAGGTAGCATAAAACTTAACCCAAGAATAAAACAAATCAAGACAATTAAACCATCACCATGTTTGTAGTAAATAAATAAATATACCGTGATAAAGTGACAGCACCTCAACAGCGGTTGAAATATAGTCTGTCTGTAACGATGTTAGGCAGGTAAAGGTAAAATGACTGTTAATATCAAGTTATAAACAACACACTGTTGAGCATGGCACACTAAGAGAGTCAGGAGTAACAAACCAGGGTTTTCATGGCTCAAGATTGTCAGCGTTGACTGTGGCAGCTTGAGGCAGCGCGGCCTTATATACCACACGAGCGGGGCCGGCTAAACCCTCTATGTGTTCCTTTATATTCAAGGTCTCTCAGAACCCACAGTACTTCCCAGTTCACTCAAAGATAACTAACCTGTTCACTTTCCCTCTTACTTCTCTCACTTTACCCACCTTAGCACCCAGTTCTATGTTTTAAACCTAATATTTATCTTTTCTAATAAGGTAAACTTTGCTCACATTAAGAACCTGCTTACTAGGACAAAATCCCATTTTTCTTCAGTGCTTGTATTGTAAATCTTCAAACGCATTGTTTAATGAACTATGCTAAACTGTTCAGTCTCTCACTACCCCACTGAAATCATTGAATTCATCTGTTCACTCAGCATACTGTTTAACACACTCAATAACCAATTTACTCACAAAGTATCCCAAATAGCACACAGTACTAACCGTTTTATTCAAAAACACGCTTAACCTACAGTGCTAATCAGCTCAAACGCTTAACGCCCAGCTTATCATACTGTCATTACGTGATTGCTCACAATGTACCTAGAGTAATTCACGGTATTAACCTGATTACTCAACTCCTCACTTACGAAACAGCAAGTAAAGTCATGTTTGGTCAGCAATACATGGACACTCATTGCCCAGCTTAATTAGCAGTACTCACAGTATTTCATCGAACACCAAGATTCTTCAGCGGGTCTCACTTCTTCTCACTGATTACCCAGACTTGTCATTAGCACACACAAGAGCTCAATATGTGTGAGTCTTGTATCGTTTGAGCTCCTGAAAAAATTTATTGATCTGGATTAAAATTAAACCATCGCCTCAACATTATAATGTTGAAGTTGATAATTAAATATTACAGGTTTTAGAGGGTTCACTTGATTCCCTCTGAGTTTCGATTACAATTATCTGTTAATGGACAATTGAATATTACTTGAATATTTATATCAGGAATGTTCAACGGACTTCATCAGTTTCTTTTATAATACTAAACAAAGGTTATAATTAAAATATGATATTCATAGAAAAAGCTATCTAAAATATAGAAAGAGTTTTTATTATCATTTGTGACAATCGGTTTCCACCTTGACTCCACACTGTTGTTACCTTAACCCAGTGATCTCTGCACTTGAGTCATGAGATGGTTACCAGCGGTAGCTGGTAACCCACGTCTGGACCACAGACACTGCCCACTAGCATACCAGCCTGGTCACCCTTCCTCTCCCACCTTCACACACCGTACTCACTCTACGAACCACTACACCCACGATACTGTCCCATACATTCTGTGTCCTGCTTAACTGACAGTACTTCTCAAGTGGCGACCTGCTTAACTGAGTAGATTTCTAACCTATATATTCTTTATCTCGTTTCACTCTGTAATCAATTACCCTTCAGTTCTGTGTTGTTAGTCTAATATAGACATATTCACTAAAGAATCATCTTTACCCCAGTAATCAGCCTGATGACTCAGCTACTCGATTTATCCTTCATACCATTGTTTATTAAGTCAAAGTCTCTTTTATTTTACTAGGCTCACCTAATAACCCATTCTAGGCGCCGCTTATAAAGCAGCGATATACTGTTCACACAATCAGTGCCCCATTTACCACCTACCACTAACTTGTTCACTCTCAATTCCTCAATTAATACATTAAACAAAGCCATTTACTCGCAGAGGTCACGAGAATAACAAACTATTAATATGTTCACTCACAAAGAACCGCAAATATCATGTATCACTAACCTGTCTTCTCGATTCCTCACCCACCCAGTAACACTACTCAGTTCACTCAGTATTCCACTTACCAACAATATTGATGGTCTTGTTTGATCAGCAGTCCTCACCAGACCTCAAAATCAGTGAGTTAATTCTCCCTGCAACTGCAACTCATGAAGGACTGTATTGGTCTAAGTGAAAATTAAACCATCATTTAACATAAATTTTGTAGGTGATCAATAAATGTCATACTTAATGTATGGGTAATTGATTTCTTCTGAATTTTTCAAAAACTATTGACCAAAATTCGCTGATATGTGAACTCAACATATTTGCCTATACCTCTTAGAATATTCCTAGTCTCCATGAGATCAAGAAAGATCCACGGTCTTGATAAGGTTTACTAAAAAAACATTTTTTTTTTTTTAATAGCTTCATACATCTTCATATTCTCGTGTTACTGTTAGAGAATAATAGCTTGGAAGGTCAGTATGTAGTATAGTGGAGAATTCTGAACGTTAAAATAGGAAAAAAAGAGCTGAAAGGTTCTGTATTAGTACAGAGCTGCTAGAAGATAATTTTTTTCGCAACCAAACATTCACTAACAGACCAACAGACAAGAAAAAACAAAAATCTCTCAACCGCTGTAGGCAGAGTAAAAGACACCCGACTGTGCATATTTTGGACCTTTTTAGGATCTATTTACTTGCTGCATTATTATTTTCATTTCCATTAACTTCAGTGAATCAGTTCAAAATGTCGCTCTGATGACGGGATCTGTCCCATTCTGTATCCTACTTTCTCATATTCCTCTCCCTTGTCCTTGCACTAGTCGAAACCCTACTATGAAAGGCAATTTCTTTCATTTGTCTGGATCGCCTGATGTTGTTAAAATACAATTTTTATTTTGTGTCTTACTAAGTTAGAAATTTAGCCGTATCAATGTTTTATATCATATTACTAGAGTGGGGTACCTGACTGCACCTGGGTTTCTCTCCCACCACTATCCTTCTTCCTCTCATCTCTCTCCCACCCTCTCTCTTCTCCCATATCTCTTTCCTTATCCAACCCCCCTTCTCTTCCCCTCTCCACTTTTCTACACAACATCTTCCCTTCTCTCCTTTCCTCTCTGCAAGTTTCCCCCCTTTCTCACCCTCTCCTCCAACATCCTTTTCTCTCTTCTTGCCTCTTTCAAACATCCCGTCTCTCACAGTTCTCCTTTCCACTCTCCCCCATCACCTCTCTCTTTCCCAGAAATTTAATATATAATTCAATAGAAATTGTTTAAGACGTCTACGGACACACAACAAACATTTCAGACGTTACTTCATGAAAATCGCATGGAGAGATTGGGGTTGATACTGATATTTTTTTTAAAGTGTGGCACTGAAGCTGACCCGGATTGATCTATGTCGCCACACTCTTCATATGTGAAAGTTGGGTGAGACTAGCTGCAAACGTCTGACCTCCAACTTTTGACAGATTGACATTCTCCCTTATAGATACAGTATAGAAGATTATTATTTATTATTTAATGTTTGTTATTTATTAACATTTATTATTATCTTTGTAATATTTCATCAAAGATAAACTCTTAAAGTGAAATAAACAATATTTGTGCTCGAAATGTTTGTTTTATTATTTTATATATTGATAGTCACAGTAAACAAATAGAAGGCTCAACTGACAACAGCCGGTGTTCAGCCATAATATCCGTAGCCACCATAACCTCCATATCCTCTGCCGAAGCCTCCAAAGCCACCGAAGCCCCGCCCGAAGCCTCCTAAGCCTCCAAAGCCGCCTAGGTAACCTGGATTAGCTTCAGGCTCAGCAGCTGGATCAGCGCTCCTCTTTCCACGATAGAAGCCTCCGTATCCTCCATAACCTCCGTATCCTCCATATCCTAACCCGAAGCCACGACCGAAACCTCCAAAGCCTCCCAAGCCACCAAAGTAACCGGGCTCAGCCTCTGGGGCAGGAGCAGCGCTTGTGTCCACCAAGCAGAAGGCGGCCAGGGCGGCAACAATGATCTGTTAAAGAAACAAAAAACTTAGTTTACTTTCTAAACATTATGAATAAATGAAACGTACCTACACTAAGCCAGTAAAGGTTGCATAAAACTTTACACCAGAATAAAACAAATTAGGACATATAAACAATCACCTGTAATAGTGTTATATATAGAATGTGCTAAAGGGACGTGTACATATGCTGCTATTGAAACAGTCCTTGTCAGGCCTCAGAAGGAGGCATGGCCAGTGACCGGGCCGGTTGGAACTTGAACCAGGAACAACCGCAAGGTAGTCTATTAACAACGATATTAGACAGGTAAGGGAATAATACATGTTAATGTCAAGTAATAAACAACAAACTGCTGAGTATGAGAGACTAAGAGAGCCAGAAGGTGTCACTCACCAGTGTCTTCATGGTTCAGGAGTGTCAGTGTTGACTGTGGCAACTGGAGGCAGCGTGGCCTTATATACCACACAGGAGCGTGGCCGCCCAAACCCTCTCAGTGTTCCTTTATATACAAGGTCACGCTTAACTTTTTTAATCTTCAGTTGTAAACCTTGTAGGGCGTAGGAGCCTGGAACTGCCGGCCGCAAGAGCGGGAGACGGGGTCGATGGTTCGCGGGTTCTACGGACCATGTGAATGAAATTTTATTATCCACGTTAATAAAAATATTATCAATTGACAGACATTTTCTCCGACTCTATTACGGGGAGTAGCCAGCATTGACCCAGTCTGTCGTCTATCTTCTCTCTCTATCCTTATCTATCTCTCTATCTATCTATCTATCTATCTATCTATCTATCTATCTATCTATCTATCTATCCATCTATTTATTTATCTATCTATCTATATATCTATTTATCTATCTATTTTTTATCTCTATTTTCTATCTCCATATATATTTTTTTTCTGTTTATTTATTTTTGTATTTATCTGTCTATCTAGCGATATTTCAATCTATCTCTGTCTGCCTACGTAACTATCAATCAATCAATCAATCAATCTATCTATCTCTATCTATCGATCGATCGATCTATCTATCTATATATATATATATATATATATATATATATATATATATATATATATATATATATATATATATATATATATATATATCTGTGTCTGTATCTATTCACAACTTAACTCCCTCATCCCATCCCTTTGGTCTTCCCCTCCCTGCCTCCGCTTCCTTCCTATTTGCCCTGCTTCCCCATCCCCTCAAGGAGTACTGAAACTCTCTCTCAGTATCTATCAGATTCCTGTTCTTTTTCAGTTTTCCTTCTCCTATTATTCTTCCTTTTTTCATCAGATAAAATTGTATCACAGACCATTCCCCTCTGGAAATTTGGGTGAGACTAGCAACAGGCGTCAGGCTTCGAACTTGAATAGGCTGACAGACAAATATATATATATATATATATATATATATATATATATATATATATATATATATATACATATATATATATATATATATATATATATATATATATATATATATATATATATATATATTTATGTAAATGCACACACACACACTAGGTAGGGATACACCTGCATTGCCATTACCCGGGTCTGTCTGTCTGTCTGCCTCGCATCTGTTCATCTATCAATTCTTCCATCTATCTCTTTAATTGTTTATTCATATATCCATCCATTATTCATCCATCTTCCTATCATCAATATAGCAATATAGCAATCCATCCATCTATCCGTCCATCCATCTATCAATCCATCTATATTTCTATCCATCCATCAATTTATCCATCTACATTTAATTATCCATCCATCAGTTTATCACTCTACATTCAATTATCTGTTCATCTATTTATTTGTCTATATTCATTTATCCATCCATCTATGTATCAAACTATCTATCTTTCTATGCATCTATCTATTCATCCAACTTTCTATTTCTTCATGTATCCGTCCAACCATACATCAATATATTTATCTATCCATCCATCTATTTTTCCATTCATCTATCAATCCATCCCTCTATCAATCAATTTTCACACCTATTTATCTGTCTATCCATCCATCCAGCTAAACCTCAATTAATCCATCTATCCATATATCTACTCCTAAATCTATTCATTTTCTCCCCTTGACCCCCCTCACGCCATCTCCTTGCACCCCACCCCCCGTTCTCCCCTCTATCTCCCTTTCTCTCCCTCTCCCCTTCCACCTCCCTTCCTCTCTCCCTCTCCCTGTTTCCCCGAATATTTTGAAGGCTATTTTTCTACTAATTTTTGTTTTCAAAATATTCTTAGGTATTGTGGCAGGCAGTTCCAAAAAATCCTCGGGGGGGTCTGAATGTGACCCTGGCATGCTGTTCTCTTTTGAATTATGGCGACCCCGACTAGCCAATATTCATCATGTACCCCAGACCATTACCTCTGTTTATTTGGATGAAGCTAGGCCCAAGCTTCTCGCCTCCATCTATGAACAGACAAACAGAGAGACAGACAGAGACATTCTGTCTTATTTTTACAGATATGAATATTATATTTATTTTATTAATTTTGAACTAAATAACTCGATCAACAACCCGAGTCTATGTTGTTGTGACTTAGAAAAGCTCTCAAGCATCGTAAAATACTTTTCTCTTCATAAAATAAATGGCTTATGATACTTCCATTTCCCAATATTCATCATTTATGAAGGATGGATGAGGCTAGATATTAGCTCCTGGCCTCCAACCATGGACAAGCAGACAGACATTGTCTTATAGATCAGCCCGTCCTCCTAAGGTTTCCCATCGTCAAGAAACGGTCAGTTTAAAATGTCCTCTCCTAACCTACCTGAGGACCCAAACTAGGGAACTGGACAGTTCGTCACTTTTGCGAGCGGCTTCCATTTTTATATACGAAAATTTTTAGTCGTATGTAACGCATAAGATCGAAATGCGACGTTCTTTATAAGAGGACAGGTTGTATAGATATAGAAGATTATTTTTTATAAGAGATTTGTAATAGTTCATCGAAGATAAACCGTAATGATCATATAAACAATATTTATGCTCAATATCTTTTTATTATTTTACAAATTTAGTCACAGTAAACAAATACAAGGCTCAGCTGACAACAGCTGGTGTTCAACCATAATATCCATAGCCTCCATAACCTCCATATCCTCTGCCGAAGCCTCCAAAGCCACCGAAGCCCCGCCCGAAGCCTCCTAAGCCTCCAAAGCCGCCTAGGTAACCTGGATTAGCTTCAGGCTCAGCAGCTGGATCAGCGCTCCTCTTTCCACGATAGAAGCCTCCGTATCCTCCATAACCTCCGTATCCTCCATATCCTAACCCGAAGCCACGACCGAAACCTCCAAAGCCTCCCAAGCCACCAAAGTAACCGGGCTCAGCCTCTGGGGCAGGAGCAGCGCTTGTGTCCACCAAGCAGAAGGCGGCCAGGGCGGCAACAATGATCTGTTAAAAAAAACAAAAAACTTAGTTTACTTTCTAAACATTATGAATAAATGAAACGTACCTACACTAAGCCAGTAAAGGTTGCATAAAACTTTACACCAGAATAAAACAAATTAGGACATATAAACAATCACCTGTAATAGTGTTATATATAGAATGTGCTAAAGGGACATATACATATGCTGCTATTGAACCATAGTTATTATCAGGTCTCAGAAGGAGGCCTGGTCAGAGACCGAACCGCTTTGACCCCAGGAACAACCGTAAGGTAGTCTATCAACAAAGATATTAGACAGGTAAGGCTAAAATAGATGTTAATGTCAAGTTATAAACAGCAAACTGCTGAGTATGAGAGACTAAGAGAGCCAGAAGGTGTCACTCACCAGGGTCTTCATGGTTCAGGAGTGTCAGTGTTGACTGTGGCAGCTGGAGGCGGCGTGGCCTTATATACCACACAGGGGCGTGGCCGCCCAAACCCTCTCAGTGTTCCTTTATATACAAGGTCACGCTTAACTTTTTTAATCTTCAGTTGTAAACCTTGTAGGGCGTAGGAGCCTGGAACTGCCGGCCCCAAGAGCAGGAGACGGGGTCGATGGTTCGCGGGTTCTACGGACCATGTGAATGAAATTTTATTATCCACGTTAATAAAAATATTATGAATTGACAGACATTCTCTCCGAATCTATTACGGGGAGTAGCCAGCATTGACCCAGTCTGTCGTCTATCTTCTCTCTCTATCCTTATCTATCTATCTATCTATCTATCTATCTATCTATCTATCTATCTATCTATCTATCTATCTATCTATCTATCTATCTATCTATCTATCTATCTATCTATCTATCTATCCATCTATTTATTTATCTATATATCTATTTATCTATCTATTTTTCTATCTCTATATAATTTTTTTTTCTGTTTATTTATTTTTGTATTTATCTGTCTATCTAGCGATATTTCAATCTATCTCTGTCTGTCTACGTAACTATCAATCAATCAATCATCAATCAATCAACCAATCTATCTATCTATCTCTATCTATCTATCGATCGATCGATCTATCTATATATATATATATATATATATATATATATATATATATATATATATATATATATATATATATATATATATCTATTCACAACTTAACTCCCTCATCCCTGTCCCTTTGGTCTTCCCCTCCCTCCCTCCGCTTCCTTCCTATTTGCCCCCTGCTTACCCCATCCCCTCAAGGAGTACTGAAACTCTCTCTCAGTATCTATCAGATTCCTGTTCTTTTTCAGTTTTCCTTCTACTATTATTCTTCCTTTTTCATCAGATAAAATTGTATCACAGACCATTTCCCTCTGGAAATTTGGGTGAGACTAGCAACAGGCGTCAGGCTTCGAACTTTGAATAGGCTGATCGACAAATATATATTTATATATATATATATATATATATATATATATATATATATATATATATATATATATATATATATATATATATATATATATATATATATATATATGTGTGTGTAAATGCACACACACACACACTAGGTAGGGATACACCTGCATTGCCATTACCCGGGTCTGTCTGTCTGCCTCGCATCTGTTCATCTATCAATTCTTCCATCTATCTCTTTAATTGTTTATTCATATATCCATCCATTTATTCATCCATCTTCCTATCATCAATATAGCAATCCATCCATCTATCCGTCCATCCATCTATCAATCCATCTATATTTCTATCCATCCATCAATTTATCCATCTACATTTAATTATCCATCCATCAGTTTATCACTCTACATTCAATTATCTGTTCATCTATTTATTTGTCTATATTCATTTATCCATCCATCTATGTATCAAACCATCTATCTTTCTATGCATCTATCTATTCATCCAACTTTCTATTTCTGCATGTATCCGTCCAACCATACATCAATATATTTATCTATCCATCCATCTATTTTTCCATTCATCTATCAATCCATCCCTCTATCAATCAATTTTCACACCTATTTATCTGTCTATCCATCCATCCAGCTAAACCTCAATTAATCCATCTATCCATATATCTACTCCTAAATCTATTCATTTTCTCCCCTTGACCCCCCCTCACCCCATCTCCTTGCACCCCCCCCCGGTCTCCCCTCTATCTCCCTTTCCCTCCCTCTCCCCTTCCACCTCCCTTCCTCTCTCCCTCTCCCTGTTTCCCCGAATATTTTGAAGGATATTTTTCTACTAATTTTTGTTTTCAAAATATTCTTAGGTATTGTGGCAGGCAGTTCCAAAAAATCCTCGAGGGGGTCTGAATGTGACCCTGGCATGCTGTTCTCTTTTGAATTATGGCGACCCCGACTAGCCAATATTCATCATGTATCCCAGACCATTACCTCTGTTTATTTGGATGAAGCTAGGCCCAAGCTTCTCGCCTCCATCTTTGAACAGACAAACAGACAGACAGACAGAGACATTCTGTCTTATAAGTACAGATATGAATATTATATTTATTTTATTAATTTTGAACTAAATAACTCGATCAACAACCCGAGTCTATGTTGTTGTTGACCTAGAAAAGCTCTCAAGCATCGTAAAATACTTTTCTCTTCATAAAATAAATGGCTTATGATACTTCCATTTCCCGATATTCATCATTTATGAAGGATGGATGAGGCTAGATATTAGCTCCTGGCCTCCAACCATGGACAAGCAGACAGACATTGTCTTATAGATCAGCCCGTCCTCCTAAGGTTTCCCATCGTCAAGAAACGGTCAGTTTAAAATGTCCTCTCCTAACCTACCTGAGGACCCAAACTAGGGAACTGGACAGTTCGTCACTTTTGCGAGCGGCTTCCATTTTTATATACGAAAATTTTTAGTCGTATGTAACGCTTACGATCGAAATGCGACGTTCTCTATAAGACGACAGGTTATATAGATATAAAAGATTATTTTTTATAAGAGATTTGTAATAGTTTATAGAAGATAAACCGTAATGATGATATAAACAATGTTTATGCTCAATATGTTTTTATTATTTTAAAATTTAGTCACAGTAAACAAATACAAGGCTCAGCTGACAACAGCTGGTGTTCAACCATAATATCCATAGCCTCCATAACCTCCATATCCTCTGCCGAAGCCTCCAAAGCCACCGAAGCCCCGCCCGAAGCCTCCTAAGCCTCCAAAGCCGCCTAGGTAACCTGGATTAGCTTCAGGCTCAGCAGCTGGATCAGCGCTCCTCTTTCCACGATAGAAGCCTCCGTATCCTCCATAACCTCCGTATCCTCCATATCCTAACCCGAAGCCACGACCGAAACCTCCAAAGCCTCCGAAGCCACCAAAGTAACCGGGCTCAGCCTCTGGGCAGGAGCAGCGCTTGTGTCCACCAAGCAGAAGGCGGCCAGGGCGGCAACAATGATCTGTTAAAAAAAACAAAAAACTTAGTTTACTTTCTAAACATTATGAATAAATGAAACGTACCTACACTAAGCCAGTAAAGGTTGCATAAAACTTTACGCCAGAATAAAACAAATTAGGACATATAAACAATCACCTGTAATAGTGTTATATATAGAATGTGCTAAAGGGACTTGTACATATGCTGCTATTGAAACAGTCCTTGTCAGGCCTCAGAAGGAGGCATGGCCAGTGACCGGGCCGGTTGCAATTTGAACCAGGAACAACCGCAAGGTAGTCTATTAACAACGATATTAGACAGGTAAGGGAATAATACATGTTAATGTCAAGTAATAAACAACAAACTGCTGAGTATGAGAGACTAAGAGAGCCAGAAGGTGTCACTCACCAGTGTCTTCATGGTTCAGGAGTGTCAGTGTTGACTGTGGCAGCTGGAGGCAGCGTGGCCTTATATACCACACAGGGGCGGGGCCGCCCAAACCCTCTCAGTGTTCCTTTATATACAAGGTCACACGGAACATTTTTAATCTTCAGTTGTAAACCTTGTAGGGCGTAGGAGCCTGGAACTGCCGGCCCCAAGAGCAGGAGACGGGGTCGATGGTTCGCGGGTTCTACGGACCATGTGAATGAAATTTTATTATCCACGTTAATAAAAATATTATCAATTGACAGACATTCTCTCCGAATCTATTACGGGGAGTAGCAAGCATTGACCCAGTCTGTCGTCTATCTTCTCTCTCTATCCTTATCTATCTATCTATCTATCTATCTATCTATCTATCTATCTATCTATCTATCTATCTATCTATCCATCTATTTATTTATCTATCTATCTATATATCTATCTATCTATTTTTCTATCTCTATTTTTCTATCTCTATATATATTTTTTTTCTGTCTATTTATTTTTGTATTTATCTGTCTATCTAGCGATATTTCAATCCATCTCTGTCTGTCTACGTAACTATCAATCAATCAATCAATCAATCTATCTATCTATCTCTATCTATCTATCGATCGATCGATCTATCTATCTATATATATATATATATATAGATATATATATCTGACCATTCAGGCTTGTTTGCATATATATATATATATATATATATATATATATATATATATATATATATATATATATATATATATATATATATATGTCGTACCTAGTAGCCAGAACGCACTTCTCAGCCTACTATGCAAGGCCCGATTTGCCTAATAAACCAAGTTTTCATGAATTAATTGTTTTTCGACTACCTAACCTACCTAACCTAACTTTTTTGGCTACCTAACCGAACCTAACCTATAAAGATAGGTTAGGTTAGGTTAGGTAGGGTTGGTTAGGTTCGGTCATATATCTACGTTAATTTTAACTCCAATAAAAAAAAATTGACCTCATACATAACGAAATGGGTAGCTTTATCATTTCATAAGAAAAAAATTAGAAAAAATATATTAATTTAGGAAAACTTGGCTTATAAGGCAAATCGGGCCTTGAATAGTAGGCCAAAAAGTGAGTTCTGGCTACTAGGTACGACATATATATATATATATATATATATATATATATATATATATATATATATATATATATATATATATATATATATATATATATATATATATATATATATATATATATATATATATATATATATATATATATATATATATATATATATCTGTGTCTGTATCTATTCACAACTTAACTCCCTCATCCCATCCCTTTGGTCTTCCCCTCCCTTCCTCCGCTTCCTTCCTATTTGCCCCCTGCTTCCCCCATCCCCTCAAGGAGTACTGAACCTCTCTCTCAGTATCTATCAGATTCCTGTTCTTTTTCAGTTTTCCTTCTACTATTATTCTTCCTTTTTCATCAGATAAAATTGTATCACAGACCATTCCCCTCTGGAAATTTGGGTGAGACTAGCAACAGGCGTCAGGCTTCGAACTTTGAATAGGCTGACAGACAAATATATATATATATATATATATATATATATATATATATATATATATATATATATATATATATATATATATATATATATATATATATATATATATATATATATATATGTAAATGCACACACACACACTAGGTAGGGATACACCTGCATTGCCATTACCTACCCGGGTCTGTCTGTCTGCCTAGCATCTGTTCATCTATCAATTCTTCCATCTATCTTTTTAATTGTTTATTCATATATCCATCCATTTATTCATCCATCTTCCTATCATCAATATAGCAATCCATCCATCTATCCGTCCATCCATCTATCAATCCATCTATATTTCTATCCATCCATCAATTTATCCATCTACATATAATTATCCATACATAAATTTATCACTCTACATTCAATTATCTGTCCATCTATTTATCCGTCTATATTCATTTATCCATCCATCTATGTATCAAACCATCTATCTTTCTATGCATCTATCTATTCATCCGTCTCTCTATTTCTTCATGTATCTATCCAACCATGCATCAATATATTTATTTATCCATCCATCTATCTTTCCATTCACATATCAATCCATCCCTCTATCAATCCATTTTCACACCTATCTATCTGTCTATCAGTCTATCCAGCTAAACCTCAATCAATCCATCTATCCATATATCTACTCCTAAATCTATCCATTTTCTCCCCTTGACCCCCCTCACCCCATCTCCTTGCACCCCACCCCCCCATTCTCCCCTCTGTCTCCCTTTTTCTCCCTCTCCCCTTCCACCTTCCTTTCTCTCCCTCTCCCTGTTTCCTTGAATATTTTGAAGGATATTTTTCTACTAATTTTTGTTTTCGAAATATTCTTAGGTATTGTGGCAGGCAGTTCCAAAAATCCTCGTGGGGGTCTGAATGTGACCCTGGCACGCTGTTCTCTTTTAAATTATGGCGACCCCGACTAGCCAATGTTCATCATCTGACCATCTGTTCATCACCCAGACCATTACCTCTGTTTATTTGGATGAAGCTTGGCCCAAGCTTCTCGCCTCCATCTTTGAACAGACAAACAGACAGACAGAGACATTCTGTCTTATATTTACAGATATGAATATTATATTTATTTTATTAATTTTGAACTAAATAACTCGATCAACAACCCGAGTCTATGTTGTTGTGACTTAGAAAAGCTCTCAAGCATCGTAAAATACTTTTTTCTTCATAACAGAAATGGCTTATGATACTTCCATTTCCCGATATTCATCATTTATGAAGGATGGATGAGGCTAGTTATTAGCTCCTGGCCTCCAACCATGGACAAGCAGACAGACATTGTCTTATAGATCAACCCGTCCTCCTAAGGTTTCCCATCGTCAAGAAACGGTCAGTTTAAAATGTCCTCTCCTAACCTACCTGAGGACCCAAACTAGGGAACTGGACAGTTCGTCACTTTTGCGAGCGGCTTCCATTTTTATATACGAAAATTTTTGGTCGTATGTAACGCATAAGATCGAAATGCGACGTTCTTTATAAGAGGACAGGTTGTATAGATATAGAAGATTATTTTTTATAAGAGATTTGTAATAGTTCATCGAAGATAAACTGTAATCATGATATAAACAATGTTTATGCTCGATATGTTTTTATTATTGTATATATTTAGTCACAGTAAACAAATAGAAGGCTCAGCTGACAACAGCTGGTGTTCAACCATAATATCCATAGCCTCCATAACCTCCATATCCTCTGCCGAAGCCTCCAAAGCCACCGAAGCCCCGCCCGAAGCCTCCTAAGCCTCCAAAGCCGCCGAGGTAACCTGGATTAGCTTCAGGCTCAGCAGCTGGATCAGCGCTCCTCTTTCCACGATAGAAGCCTCCGTATCCTCCATAGCCTCCGTATCCTCCATATCCTAACCCGAAGCCACGACCGAAACCTCCAAAGCCTCCGAAGCCACCAAAGTAACCGGGCTCAGCCTCTGGGGCAGGAGCAGCGCTTGTGTCCACCAAGCAGAAGGCGGCCAGGGCGGCAACAATGATCTGTTAAAAAATCAAAAAACTTAGTTTACTTTCTAAACATTATGAATAAATGAAACGTACCTACACTAAGCCAGTAAAGGTTGCATAAAACTTTACGCCAGAATACAACAAATTAGGACATATAAACAATCACCTGTACTAGTGTTATATATAGAATGTGCTAAAGGGACGTAAACATATGCTGCTAATGAACCTTAGTTATTATCAGGTCTCAGAAGGAGGCCTGGTCAGAAACCGAACCGCTTTGACCCCAGGAACAACCGTAAGGTAGTCTATCAACAAAGATATTAGACAGGTAAGGCCAAAATAGATATTAATGTCAAGCTATAAACAGCAAACTGCTGAGTATGAGAGACTAAGAGAGCCAGAAGGTGTCACTCACCAGGGTCTTCATGGTTCAGGAGTGTCAGTGTTGACTGTGGCAGCTGGAGGCAGCGTGGCCTTATATACCAAACAGGGGCGGGGCCACCCAAACCCTCTCAGTGTTCCTTTATATACAAGGTCACACGGAACTTTTTTAATCTTCAGTTGTAAACCTTGTAGGGCGTAGGAGCCTGGAACTGCCGGCCCCAAGAGCGGGAGACGGGGTCGATGGTTCGCGGGTTCTACGGACCATATGAATGAAATTTTATTATCCACGTTAATAAAAATATTATGAATTGACAGACATTTTCTCCGAATCTACTTTGGGGAGTAGTACCCAGCATTGACCCAGTCTGTCGTCTGTCTTCTCTCTCTATCCTTATCTATCTATCTATTTATCTATCTATCCATCTATCTATCTATCTATCTATCTATCTATCTATCTATCTATCTATCTATCTATCTATCTATCTATCTATCTATCTATCTATCAATCAATCTATCTATCTATCTATCTATCTATCTTTCTTTTTTTCTATCTCTATTTTTATATTTTTGTCTATTTATTTTTGTATTTATCTCTCTATCTAAGATATTTCCATCTATCTCTGTCTGTCTGTCTACATAACAATCAGTCAATCAATCTATCTACCTATCTATCTATTTATCATCTAACTATCTGAATCTCTATCTATTCACAACTTAACTCCCTCATCCCTGTCCCTTTGGTCTTCCCCTCCCTGCCTCCGCTTCCTTCCTATTTGCCCCCTGCTTCCCCCATCCCCTCAAGGAGTACTGAAACTCTCTCTCAGTATCTATCAGATTCCTGTTCTTTTTCAGTTTTCCTTCTACTATTATTCTTCCTTTTTTCACCAGATAAAATTGTATCACAGACCATTCCCCTTTGGAAATTTGGGTGAGACTAGCAACAGGCTTCCAACTTTGGACAGGCAGACAGACAAAAAAAAATATATATGTATATTTAAATATATATATATATATATATATATATATATATATATATATATATATATATATATATATATATATATATATATATATATATATATATATATATATATATATATGTGTGTGTGTGTGTGTGTGTGTGTGTGTGTGTGTGTGTGTGTGTGTGTGTGTGTGTGTGTGTGTGTGTGTGTGTGTGTGTGTGTGTGTGTGTGTGTGTTGTTGAATGTGACCGAAAAGGTAAGATTAATAATTCTAACACGACTCTTCTCAATATTTCTTATGTTTTTCTTCATTGTCGGTGGTAATAAAAATATTATATAAAAATATTCACCTATTCATCCATCCATCTATCTATCATGTATATTGCAATCTATCCATCTGTCCATCCATCTATCCATCCATCTATCCGTCCATTTATCTATCCATCTACATTTCTATCCATCCGTCAATTTATCCATCTACATTCAATTATCTGTCCATCTATTTATCCGTCTATATTTATTTATTTATCCATCTATCTTTCAAGCCATCTCTCTTTCTGTGCATCTATCCATTTAACCTTCTTTCTATCTCCCCATCTATCTATCCAACCTTATATCCATCTATTTACCTATCTATCCGTCTATCTATCCATCTATCTTTCCATCCATCTATCTTTCCATCCATCTATCTATTCATCCCTCTATCCATTTTCACATCTATCTGTCTGTCTATCCATCCATCCAGCTAACCCTCTATCAATCTATCTATCCATACATCTACTCATATATCAATCCATTTTCTCCCCCTTGACCCCCTCGCCCCATCCTTTTGCCCCCCTCCACCCCATTCTCCCTTCTATCTCCCTTCCTCTTCTTCTTCCTATTTCCCCGAATATTTTGAGGAAAAAATATTATTGTTCTACTTTTTTTTTCAAAATATTCTTAGGTATAGTGGCAAGCAGTGCCAAAAATCCTCGTGGGGGTCTAAATGTGACCCTGACACGCTGTTCTCTCTGGAATTATGGCGACCCCGACTTGCCTATGTTCATTCTGTACCCCAGACCATACCCCAGTTTATTTGGATGAAGCTAGGCCCAAGCTTCTCGCCTCCAGCTTTGAACACACAGACAGACAGACAGACAGACATTCTGTCTTATAGTTATAGGTAAAGCCCCAAAATCATCTCAAGATAACCTCAAGATAGGTATAGATATGAATATTATATTTATTTTATTAATTTTGAACTAAATAACTCGTTGAACAGTCCGAGTCTGATGTTGACCTAGAAAACCTCCCAAACATCGTAAAAAACATTTATCTCCATAATATCATATAACAAAAACATGAACAAGAAATAGAGTGGACTCAAATTTTGAAGGTTACAGGCAAGATTTGGTCACGCTACTTCCTGACCCGGCTGACCCGGCTGACCCGGCTGACCCGGCTGACCCGGCTGACCCAGCTGACCCCACAAAACAAAAGAAACTTGGAACTCACCAAGGACACAGTATATATTATGAATATCCTTCATGACTTTATACCAACTTTATCTCAATTCCCTGAACACTTGTGGCATTTTATGATATATTTCAGTACATAATTCTCTGGACTAGTTAACAGTAGCCAGTATTAGTGTCTTCCATATTAGTTAATATCATCTGGCATTAGTATTTTCCGTACTAGCGTACTAGAATTTTATGACCCAGCATTAAGCAAGACAGAGAAGGATGGCCAGACTGCATTTTCTTGAACTGACAGAAAGCTATTGACACAGTACCCAATAAGAGACTGTCTCATAAGTTGGAAAAACAAGCAGGAGTAAGTGGTAGGGTGCTCCAATGGATAAGTGAGTACTTAAACAGCAGGAAGCAGAGAGTTACGGTGAGGGGTGAGACCTGAGACTGGCGTGATGTCACCAGCAGAGTCCCACGAGGTTCAGTACTCGGACCTATCTTGTTTCTAATATACAGAAGGTATAGACGCATTCCTGTCAATGTTTGCTGATGATAATAAAATTATGAGAAGGATTAGGACAGAGGAAAACAGCAAGAGGCTACTGGATGACCTGGGCAGACTTAAGGAATTGTCCAACAAATGGCTACTAGTCTTTAACTCTAGCAATTATAAAGTGATGAAGATAAGCGTAGGGAGCAGGAGGCCAAACTCAAGGTACCAGCTGGGAGAGTAAATCCTTCAGGAGTCTGGACGAGAGAAAGATCTGGGGGTTGATATTTCACCAGACCTGTTCCCTGAAGCACAACCAGGTGAGAACACACATACAGACATACACACACATTGACTTCCGCTTCCCTGTTTCACATAATGACACGCTTCCGCTCGATTAGTGTGTAAAAGTAGACAGTAGACCACGAAACATTAAACGTGAGGAATGATCAACGTACCAACGACTTCCGTCTGTGAATTGTTTTCCTCTGCCATCAGCACCAGTGAAATATATAGAATTTGATCAATGTTTGGCTGAATTTTTGTCAATATGAGTGATAGGTTATGTAAACTCTATATTCCTCCACTCCTAGCTCTCAAACACTGAACTTCTATCCCAATATATCTCATCTCATAGCCATTAAGCCCTCTTTACCTAGGCCGCTATATCTCTACTCCTAGCACTCGACCATTCTTCTCATAACCCTCTACATATCTGTTCCTATCCCTCAACCTTTCTACTCCCAGTACACACCCATTCCATTCCTAGTCCTCAACCATTCCCTATCCCTTGACCACTATATTCCCAGCTTTCTACTTCTGGCCATCAACCTATCTACTCCTTCGCCTTTTTATGATGACCTCAACCACCCTACTCCTAACCCTCAACCACTGTATTCCTAGCCCTCAACAACTATATTCCTAGCCTTCAACTCATAGTCTTACTCCATGGTTCCTCTAAAGACCACCCAAATCTGTACTTCAGTCCACTTAAAGTCCCACGCCAAAACTCAACTCATGACAACCTAAAAGTCCAGTCTTTACCACTCAAAACTTCTAAATTGCTCATCCAACGTTCCACTCATAGCTTCGAAAGATTCATTCCTGAGCACTCATAGTGTTATCCCATGATCACATAATGCTTCGCCTGTCACCTCACTCTTCTCCTCACCACTCATAACCTTCACTCTGGAAGCACATCATCCTCGGTCTACACTCGCCCAAAATGCAGCCAATCCCGAAAATGCATTCATCAATATTAACGTACTGTGTCACCAAAAGCTAAATACCGTATATATTTGTTTAAAGTTTATTTTCGTATGTATATTATCATTTTGTGCTTACTTAGGAAAGGTTAGGATAGCTGTTTTGGTTCCGTTGACAAAGTTCCACTCCTGACCACATAGTTTCACTTCTGACCACATAGAGCTCTACTCCTGACCACATAGAGTTCCGCTCCTGATCACATAGTTTCACTTCTGACCACATGGTGTTCTACTCCTGACTACATAGCGTTCCACTTTTGACATCACAACGTTTCCCTCCAGATCACATGTAGATCCACTCCAGTCTTCATAGAGTTTCGCTCCTGACCAGCAGGAGTGAAACCACATAAAGTTCCACTCCTGACCACATAAAGTTCAACTCCGGGATACATAAAGTTTCACTCCTGATCACATATAGTTCCACTCCTGACCACATAAAGTTCCACTCCTGACCACATAAATGTCCACTCCTAACCACATAAAGTTCCACTCCTGACCACATAAATGTCCACTCCAAACCACATAAAGTTCCACTCCTGACCACATAAATGTCCACTCCTAACCACATAAAGTTCCACTCCTGACCACATAAAGTTCCACTCATGACCACATAAAGTTCAACTCCTGACCTCATAAATTTCCACTTTTGATCACATAAAGTTTCATTACTAACCACAAAAGCTCAATTACTGGTTCCATTAGATGGACTCCATACTAGATTAAGTGCCAAACAAAAAAAATCTAAAGTGTCTCTTCTAAAGCTAAAAGGTAAGTACTATTAGCCAAGCTGAGCGTGGAGGGGTGACCAAGCAATGTCCGTGATCCAGACTAACCGGTTGCTCAAGTCCCACACTCTTGCACTTCGACCCTGATCCACGCACGTTACATCATTTTTGCA